CATTCTTTCTGTTTTATAAAAAAACCATAACCCCCATAGTGTTCATAACCTCTTTGTATCCTGGGCTCAGGAGGTTATAGGGTCAATCCCAGCAGCTGAAGAGGAATCCATTGTGAAAACATTGGGAGTTAGATTGAGAGAGGGAAAATAACAGATGTCTCGAAGTGTGTTACATTCTCTAATAATCCTTTTTGCATTACTCAAGCCATTTGAGTTTCAGTTGGTTACATTTTCATGGTTAAATTTCATGATCACTTGATGCGTTGTTGCTAATAATGGTAGGATATTGCCAGCTTATCTTGCAGTTTTTATGCAAATTTATTTTACTCGCAACATCAGTAACAACAACAACTTGCACTTATATAGTCCCTTCCCCAAAGGATAATGACTCAATATGTTACACAGACAAAGGCGTGGGAGCCTTCAATGCAGTGTTGGGGGAAGTTGCCGTTCTTTGGATGATACATTAAGCAGAAGTCCGCCTGCCCGTTTGGGTGGACGATAAAGATCCCGTGGAAAAGAGAAAAGAGTTTCTCCCAGTTTCCTGGCCAACAAGATGAGATAAGAGAAGCCATTGACTTCACGGTTGAATGTGGGACATTGCTGTGCACAAATTGGCTGCCGTGTTCGCCCACAAAACACACGGGGACTACACTTTATAGTACGTTCTTGTGAAGCACTGAGATGTTTTTTTATGATGTGATAATGCAGTATACCAAATGCAAGGATTATTGTAGCCAAGTTCTGTGAGAGCAGTAGCTTGGGAAATGTCCTCACAGTCACACTCTCCTGATTGCTTTTTCCATCCCCTGCTGGAAATGTGTGTGTATGATGACTATCTGGGGGCAGGCTGGAGCTCCCAGTGTGACTGAACATCCTGCCGACACTCATTACCCAGGAGTGGACATGCAGAACGGTGACTCAAGTGAAGCTCTGGAGTGCTGTGAGCTCGGACGGGCAGAATAAGAGAGAGAAAAAGAAAGCTGGAACTGCAGTTATTAATGCATTCTAGATGTAAATTTGTTATAATAATTCTAATAATAATAAGACGAATCCTTCATTTGATCAAGCGCCTTAACACGTTGTTGAGACGTCTTAAAGCACTTCACAGGATACGCTCTTAAAGTGGATTCACTGTATTTTATGGGCGAAATGGGGCAGCCAACTGCGCACAGCAGTGTCCCACAAACAGTCGTGGATTGAGTGGTGGATTATTACCCCCGGAAAATGATCTGCCCATCGACTTAGCAACCCGGTTCCTACTTACAACTAGGTAAACAGAGTTTATCGTTGCGTAATATAATATGCATACCCATAACTTTGTTCCAAAAAGTGAGTAATTTATAGTTATTTTAATTTTCTGCTCATTGACTCTCTCTTTCCACCCCTCAGCCCCCAGTACTTTAGAACTGCTTCGTCCATCACACCCACCTCAATACGAGAGGTCAGACAACCAACCATCTTAGCCCAGCTCCTGTCTCTTATCAGTCATAAGGAATTAATCATAATAATCCTTGCATTTGATAGCGCCTTATCGCGTCGTTGAGATGTCTCAAAGCGCTTCGCAGAATATACTGTAAGGTGCAATGACTGTGTGTTTTGTGGGCGAAACGCGGCAGCCAATTGCGTGCAGCCGTATCCCACAACCAGTCGTGGATTCAGTGACCAAATTATTATTTAATTTAGTTGACGTTTTTCATCTCTTGGGAGAAGCATTTTGCGCTGGACACTTCTCAAACAACAGCTCAAGCAGCCATCAAAAACTCACCGTACAGGGAATTGTGTGCACGGGCTGGAGTTCTGCTACTCTGAACGCAGCACGCTGCTGCACTAACCCCCTGTGCAAACAGGTAAACACAATTAACAGCCTAATGATTGCCCAATGCGAATCCCGTAAAAGTTTTTTTTCTCTCTCTCCCAGACACTGACGCTTGCCCCCTTTTGCCGGGAGACTTCAAAGAAGCTCTGCTTGGACATTAATTTGGTCAAATGGGAAGTTTCTTTCTGTCTGAGAGAACCGTGGGGCTGCATTTGTTGGTGGGACCTCGGCCGTGAGGTTCTGTCCCACAGCGAGTCTGAAATGCTTTGATCTTCCAAATGACCCAAAAGCCTGGAAATGATCACCGCAGGAATGCACCAATTAAAAATGCTGCATCGGGAGAATTAATTGGACCAATGGAAACTGCTCGCTTTACCTCTTACAGTATTGCTTTTGTTAAAACGCAAGGATAATTATCACCATTTTGTATTTTGGGGGATATTTTTTAATGCAGCCACTTAACACAATGACGCCCATCTCATCAGTCAGTGTGTGTGTGATCTTTGTGATGAAAATGCTGTAACACCCGATCCTCCCAGCACACGGTTGTGTTTTTTTTATTGTCACTAAAGCTCAGTAGCTGCGCACTTTTTCATGCATATGTTGACACGTGAACCAACAAGACTCTTTCAACACCTTTTGTGAGTTAAATAACAAGCTTTCCTTATGGGCAATCTATGTTTTTTACAACTCGAGAGCAGCTATACACATAGAAGGCAGTTTCTCCCAGATTCCTAGCCAATCGTCCCCCAGACAAAATTGATCATTCCCTTCATGGCTGTTTGTGAGACATTGCTGCGAGCAAATTGGCTGTTGCGCTCACCCAAAAAAATAGTCACTGCACTACACTTTGCTTTGAGACATTACAATACAAACTTACATTTGCATAATGCCTTTTATGTCGGGAGGACATCCCAAGACAGACAGAGTTGGGAAGGCCGACAAACGGAGTTGGCGTAGTCAAGCCTTGATTTGATGAACGTGTGAATGAAGGCTTTGCCGCCCTGAGGGGTGAGGCAGTGGCAGAGCCGGGCGATGTTGCAGATGAGGAGGAAGGGAGTGCAGGTCATGGTATGAATGTGGGATAGAAAGGATAGTTGAAGGTCAAACAAGATGCCTAGGTTCCTGACTGGCTCAGTGAGGTGGAGTGTGCATCCATGGATGGTGATACTGTCAGTGCCTGAGGTATGGAGTTACTGACTGGAGCCAATCAAGAGGGCATCAGTCTTGTTAACGTAGAAAATTAGCTCTCATCCAGGACTTGATGTCTGATAGACATTCTGTCAGGACAGCAGAGGCCCTGGAGTCGAGGGCGGAGTCAGAGAGATAGAGTTGTGTATCATCTGCATACACATGCAGATGATGTCACCAAGAAGGAGCATGTAGATACTGAAGAGGAGGGGACCAAGGACAGAGCGTTGAGGAGTACAGAGTGAGACGGTGTGGGGGATGGAGGAGAAGCTGTTTGTAGAGACAAAGTGGGGACGGTGTGAAAGGTAGGATCTGAAACATTCAAGGATGGAACCATGAAGGTTGAGGTGAGAGGAGAGGCGGTGGAGGAGGATAGAGTGGTCAACTGTGTCAAAGGCAGCAGAGTGCTCAAGGAGGCCCCAATGTAAAAAGCATGATATCAATTGCAAATATTATTATTTATTATTATGATAATAACACTTTTTGATAGTTCTTGCAATATTTCCTAATTGTTTAAACATTCAAATGTTGATCAATGTATTTTCGCATCAAAGTTTGCAAGTTGTGGGTTGTGTCAATGTTGTGGTTTTCTTTGTTTACCAGAAAAATACATTTAGCATAATAACATTGTGTGAGTGTAATGGAACATTTCAGCCTTGTGGAAAATATTATCAGAACCATACCTGACTCAATGCATTATAAATGTCATCTGTTTCCTTTTCCATGGAAATATAAACACAGATTGCTCTGGTCTGTCTATTCCGTTTACCAATTTCATAGGCAACATGACCAAAGGATGATTGCTGCAAAATGTACTTTTAATCTGATATCTCGTGTCTGTTTGGCATCTACGTTTTGAGCCAATTCTATCTAATTTATTGAAATGGGAGCAAAAGTATCAGCATGTGAACAACAATATCAATTTATAATCTTGCATTCAATATGTGCACTTATTTGCGCTTATCTAGTGCTTTTCAAATAGGGAGGACATTTACACAGATTGAATAGCAGCCTGAGCTGGGAGGGAGATAGGAGAGGTTTGGGCTGAAGGTGCAATTAGAGGTAGGTGTTGTGAATCTTTTTTCTTTAACATTACCCCTGAACTGGTAGACAGGACCTTGGTTGAATGTCTCTTCCGAAGGATGGCATCTCCCAACATTGCAGCGCTCCCCCAGTAGTGTACTGGAATGTCATCCTGGATCATGTTTAAACTAAATTAGCCATCTCGCCCTGAGATCTTTTGCAAGGATGGTTGGTGCAAGGCATGTTTTTTTTTCTCTTGAAAAACAGTCGCAGTATTGTATCGAGTCGTTCAGCAGATTGAGCTCCTGGGTCACCTACTGATGGAAATGAAAGATTGTCAAGATAATAAAGCCCTCTTTACAAGGCTTTCAGTTAGAGTTTTCTCGTGGGACTGCTACCTCGCAGCTTCTGACCTCCATAAAAATTATAATTTGCGCGAGGTTCCTCTGCACTTACTTGCAGCGTCAATGATTTGCGGCTCCCAAGGGCCACATTGGGAGGACGGTGAAGTACAGTAGCAATTTCATGACAACAATTATTACTAATGCTATCTGATGGCCGATTGCTTAATCGATCGTCAAACGCAGGGTTTCACTTATTTCCACTTCCATTTTTCTCCCTAAAACCGACTCGTTAGGAAGATGGAATGGGTCAGACTTTGGTTCAGTTGTTAGTTGGCTATTTCGACATGTAATACTTCTTTCACCTCCGCCCTTCCCCCCCACCCCTGTTCCTGCCCTTTCAACAACAACAACAACAAGATTGCATTTATAGAGCGCCTTTCACGTCGGGAGGACGTCCCAAGGCGCTGGACAGTTGGGTCAGGACCCGAGCAGGGGGGAAAATGGTCAGGGTGAGGGGAGGGAAGGGAGGGAGCGAGGAGGGGTTAGAGAGTTGAGAGGGGGGTGTGAAGGCACGGTTGAAGAGACAGTGCGTTACCTGGCCCTGCTTGTTATTGCTTTTGCAGCTCCGGACCGACGCAGAAAAGCGTTCCATGGTTGAGAGCGGCCTGACCTGGTACGGTGGATCGGAGGGCAAGGGTCAAAAGAAGGCCGAGAGCGGCTACGATGCCAGTAACGTCAAGATGGATCAAAACACAAAGTGGAGACGCATCCGGACCGAGCCAGCAGATGAAATATCGAAAGAAGTAAAGAAACCGCAGACTATCGGGCAAATAGGTTCAGTGAAGAAGAGCACGGCACCAGTGGGCATTACTTCCCCAATGACCAGCTCCGGAGCGAGCTCTCTGAAAGTAGCCGGTAAGTGCAAGAGCAGCTGAACGCGGAGAAAATACATTCTTTATCGCATCATAATGTTAGTGTTAGGTCAGGTCACATCACGTGTTGGCCTGTCTCGGTGGTTAGCACTGTTGCCTCTAAGGCAGTGGGTTCAAGCCTCATGTCGACACTTTGAACTCACAAGTCTAGGCTGGGGGTGCGTTGCGTTGTTGGAGATGCGGTGCTTTGAATAAGACGTTGGAGGTAAGTGCATTTATTCAGCAATTTGTTACAGCTGCATTGTAAGGTTGGAGACGAGGGAGAGAGTTGGTTCAAGCTACAGGCAGGATGAGAGCAAGAGAGCGCGAGGGAAAGAGAGCAATGTTTGAAAGAGATCCAGCCAGCAGGCAGATACTTCACAGGTGTTTGTGTGATGTTGCCGTGCGCAAATTGGCTGTCATGTTTGTCAGTAAAAATGTACAGTAACCTCATTTCACAATAAAGTCCCGTGCAGTACTTTGAAAGGCGCTATACCAAATGTGTGTGTTATTATTATTTGAAATCTTTTAGTGTGTGAGGGGGAGAATATTCAAATGAAACACAGTTTGTTACCATGATCACGTCAAAATATTGTGTTGCTGGAGATGACACTGACTTATCGTGATGGGTGGCCTGCGATTTATGAAAGCATAAATAGAGGTTTGCGTGATTATAGTTCTATGGGTCTTGTAGACTTTGTCCGTTGAGTGTTTATAAAACTCTGTTTTAAACATTTGAGGAGGCTTGAATGGCGAATGTTTATAATTGCTGAGATTTAGATGTTTGGCAGCGTGCTTGTCTGCATAAGGTAGTAATTAATAGTATGAAATATTAATCTATTTCTACGATTTCTTTGGAGACCTTGCTGTGCGCAATTTGGGTGCTGTATTTGACTACAAGTTACACAATAACAACAGGAAATTACATTTATAGAGCGCCTTTCATGTCAAGAAGACATCCCAAGGCACTGGACAGTTGAGGGTTTGCACCCCAGCTGCAGGGTGGATTCTGAAGGGGTGGAGGCCAAGGTGTGGGGTGGGGGTCAAAGAAGAAGGCCTTGAGTTGGACCATGAAGGAGATGAGGGAAGGGGCGAGATGAAGGGACTTCGGGATGGAATCCCAGAGAGTGGGGGCAGATAGGCTGAATCACCCGACCACCAGTTGTGGTGTACACAGTCGCTACACTTTACAGCATATGCTAATGGAATGTTTTGAGATGTCTGATGAAATGAAGGGGGAAGGGCCTGGCGGTGGGGGCTGCGGGGGGGGGCTTGCAAACTCTGTGAAGGCTCCTTGCAGTGACTGACGCCTCTGCTCATTCAAAATAACCCAAACTATTAACCCGAACTATTAACAGGAGGATATCCAAGGAAAATAGAAACCTGAAGAGAGGGGGGGAAGAGGTTAAACTCATGTAACTGACCCCAATACTTGCAGGCCATTCTCTTCCCCAACTCCAGTCGCTCACCTGCAGAATGATGAGGTGCACTCCTTTGGTTGTTGGTATGTCTTTCCTTCTTCACACACCTCTGTTTACCTATCAGTAAGTAGGAACCCGGTTGTTAGTTGATGATGGATTGCTCTCCGAGAATAATAATCCCATCAATATATTAAAAAAATTTGATCGCTTAATCCCCGACTGTTTGTGGGACACTGCAGTGCGCTGCCACGTTTCGCCCACAAAATACACAGTCAATTCACTTTACAGTAAATTCTGCGAAGCACTTTGAGACGTTACAATGATGTGGTAAGGCACTTTATCAATTGCAAGTATTATTATTATTATTTAATCTTTTGCCCATAATACTTCAGTAAAGGGTGGATCAGTCAATAGTAAGGGTTCACTGTGGGCCTGCTGCATATTGGATGTGAGTTACGTTTCCGACAATCCAGGAGAGCCTATTAAGCAATTTGAGGCTATTTCCCCTGAGGTTTACTTATTTATTATAATGGTCATTTGAGTTTTACATGGTTTTCTTGAATCACTAATTTAGTGTATATGTATTAGCCTCAGGCTCCTGAAGTCTATTTACCTAATTGGTAATAAACCCACCATTAATTGCAAGTTGAGAGCCGTTTTAGTAAGTGGAGATCCATTTGTTACCACAGGGACTTCATAAGTACAAGGCTAGCTTTGGGCCACATCACCAATGAATGTTTATAAATACCGGGACCACATTTGGTCCTGATTGTTTGGCTGGGGAACGGTTTATAATAATAATCCTTGCATTTGGTGTTGGACCTTTCATGTTAAGAAGGACGTCGCCTGTGCGCTTCGCAGGATTGCTCTGAAGTGGAGTGTAAAGTAAACTGTAAACTGTAAAGTAGGCGGACAGCAAAGTAGAAAGTGCACAGCAACGTAGGAAGTAGTTTGGGTAGGAAATCCAGAAACTAGCTGATTTGTAGGAGGAGGAAACGTGCTTCCTGTTGAACGCATTCGAAGCGCTACGAGACGCCGTCCAGCTTGAAGGTCGCTGTATAAATGCAAGTTGTTGTTGTTGAACGGGCTAACCCCGGGGCGGGGGGGTTTGGGGGTATTTCTTCAAACGTCTGCTTTACCGGCAAAATCGAACGCGGTAGATCACGAAAACAAAGAGCCGCAAGAACGGGAAAGATAAATCGCAATCAATCGTCTCTGCACATAACCAAATGTTATTGGTGAATCGTGCACTGTGACTTCCTCCCCAGTGATGAATACTACCCCGTTGTATTTCTTCATTGCACTGCAGGTGACCTCAGACAGACAGGAGCTTTATTAGAAACCGCCCGTGCCTTGCCAGCTGGCCGTTCTAACAATATCCCTGAATGGTTTGAGGAGGATCCGGATTCATTACTAATATTTGCAGACTCTTCATTTTTTTTGTCTCGCCACAAGGCTTGAGATGGCTCAAAGCACTCAGCTCCCACTGCGGGGGCAATGTGAATGCGCCGTTTCAATAGGTTTTGGTCGCAGAGAGGAAATACAATTGCTTTTTTGCCCGTGCTTAAGCACTCTGAGGAGCCGTCCGGCACTATATAAACACAAGTTGTTGTTGTTGTTTAAAAGAAATGCACGGACTTTCAAAGAGATTTGGCCAAAGGTGACGTTTTCAATCTTAAATCAATCCTCCACAGTGGTACACGTAACCGAAATTATAGTAATACAATAGTTACATTATATGTTGTGTTGTGATACCAGAGTTGGAAAGTTACCTGTGGTTTTTACTGGTAGAATGTCTTGTTTATTTGTTGGACTGACCCGAACTGTAGGAATCGATGCCGAATGGGTTTGAGCAGCAGCATTGCAGTCGGTTCTCATTAACAGGAGCGTAATTTGCATCGGCATGGTACAGCAGTTTGGGTTTACTGCCTGCAGAAATCCGGTGAAGCGTACAGAGATGTCTTCCCGACGGGAAAGGCACTATACAAATGTAATTTTGTTATTGTTGTCGTCCTAGATAGTGTTTTGGGGGGGATTTATTTTAATGAGAATATGTCGCAAAACAAAAATGATAGATTCCATGTTGCAGGCCAGTGCATTGAAACATCACTGATGATAATTAATAATAGTAATTCTTACATTTGATATAGTTCCTTTTCACATCGGAGGATGTCTCAAAGTGCTTGACAGGGTATACCGTAAAGTGGAATAACAGTGTGATTTTGTGAGCAAACCTGGCAGCAATTTGGCACCCAGCAATGTCTCTGCAGTGATATATGTGGTACATAGATATAGATATGTGATATATTGCAGTACATATATCATGTACTATACTGGATCATGTTAGCCAGTCTATTTCCATTTAAATTCTTTACGAAGTCTTAACTGGTACAGTGGATGGTCTGCTTGAACTGAGATTTGGCATAAACACAGCATAATAATAATAATAATCCTTGCATTTGATATAGCACTTTTCAGTCTCCTAGACGTCTCAAAGGGCTTCACAGAATATGCTGTAAAGTGAATTGACTGTATATTTGTGGGCGAACCTGGCAGCCAATTGCGCACAGCAGTGTCCCACAAACAGGCGTGGATTGAAAATGACCAATTTATTATTGTTTTTGTTTTTTGGAGGGATTATTATTAGGTGTGTGGAGTAAGGAAACTTGCCCAAGGTTTCGGCCTCTGCCTGGAATTGAATCCAGGTGTCTCGATTGCAAGGCGAGTGCTCGAACCACTGAGCTACAGGACTCCACGAGGCATGCAACACAGCACAAATAATGCTATTCGAATACAGCGGCTGATCTTTGAGTTGCTGATTAATGCAAACACTGTAATTTACTGCAACAATTGATTGGGAGAAAAATGCTGCTCGATTGTACATATTAAGGTTTATAAGGAGTTCTGTAGCTCAGTGGTTTATTATTATTATTATAAGGATTATTATTATTATTATAATAATAAATTCATGAATGTTCTTGGTCATCAACAGCTTCAGTGGTCATTGCACAATAGAACACACAGAGCAGGAATAGACCTTTGAGGTCCACCTAGACCAAAAGGTCCCAAAGTTTTGTAAAAAAAAGATGTTGGGTCCAGCATCAAATTAAGTGTTTACAGTACTTGTCTCTGAGCATTTACAGCAGATTCTGGGGGGAAAGTTAACTGACCTGTTTTATAACAATCACACTGGAACGCCATTGGCGTTGACTTGCCAACCTTGTCCTGTATAAGGCTTGCCAACTACAACAAACAACCAAGCGCACAATTCCAGAAATTGCCGCCACCCATGATCCTTCCTAGAAATCAGCTAACTGTGCTTTATTTTGTTTCTTTTTCCAAACTTTGCCTTTGAATCAGCACGCTCTTTGAACTATGCAATAAAGCTTTCATTACAACTCCTGAGGTTATTTACTCACAGTGTTCCTCTAACAGAGCCAGGATGTAATAATCCTTGCAGTTGATACCGCGCCTACCACATTGTCAAGATATCTCGAAGAGCTTCACGGGATGTTACTGTGAAGTGCAAGTTATGATGTATTTTCTAAGCAAACATGGCAGCCAATTTTGCACACAGCGATGTCCTACAAACAGTCATGAAGCGAATGATCAATTTTATCTGAGATACTGTTGGCCAGGAAACCAGGAGAAACATCAGACACCCACGGTGAGTCTTATTGACTGGATCTCACCTGAGGCAGCAGCTTATGCTCTGGCAATGATTACTTGGACGGTCATAAACCTCCCCTCAGGCATTGTCTTCATTTGGACGTCTCTACATCTCTATTGAGGTTACTGCCTTTTAATTCACCGAGAGCAACCCAGGCATGATCGGTGCTCCCAACCCTCTTTCAAGATGATTCTGAAAATATAATCTCTTTGACCGCACTTTTTGACCATCTTTCCCCTCCCCTCAGCTCCCACCCTCAACTCCAGTGCACAACCAAAATTGTTGAGTGTTTTGGGATGTCTCCCCACCATCAATGACACTTTTCGAAATAAATTGTTTTGTACAGTATATCTGTCAACCACCAAGTCCACCTTGGTTCACACAGGGCCCAAGTTTAATAGTTCACATCGTTAGTCACAGAGTTTTGATACAAAACTGAGAACAGACTGTCTTGTAATTGAAACCCCCTCACCCTCTGGAGAGTATGATCCTGACTGCATGAAAATGTATACAAATTATACGGGGATTTTATCAGATCCTTTGCAGTTATTACTTGATCCGAGTCATTTTATAAATGTAAATGTTAAAAGTGGCTTTTCTCTTAGAATCAGGTTTAATACAAGTGCGCAGCTCATATCATGTCCTTTAGAGTAATCAAAACCTCATGTTTCCACCACAGCTCTTGTCAGTTAAGTAACCATGTTAAATCCCATTAACTCACAGTTCACCATCACTAAAACAAAACATTTTAATGAAAAAACATTAACAAAAACGCATTTCCAGGAAGAGGAGCAGTAAGTAGTTCATGTGGTCGTGAAGCTTTCCAACCAGAAGGTCAAAAGCTCAAGTTTCTGATTGTCAGATGAACCAACAGGTGAAGTGATGTGTGAAAGTGACATGTCCGCACGTTAGTATCCTGGAGGGAACGAAGGACAAAGAAGGTTTTGTTTGCTTTGCTCAAGTCATCATTAACTGGCCCAGAATGTCATTGATTCTAGCCATAGGCATTTAGCCTACAACATACACTGGATATCCAGTGAAGCGCTTTGAGATGTCCTCCTGGCGTGAAAGGTGCTAAACAAATTGAATTCGAATTGTTATTTTAGATAAGTCTCCAGGAAAAAATATTTTTTAGTGTGTTTAGTTTTTTCACTCCTATTTTTCCCCATCTGCCAATGCCTCTCCAGTCTTGGTCTGACTTCCTCTTGCTAGGGTGCTGTTTTGAGGACTATCATCCTATTCCTTCTCTGACTGAACGTAGATGGCAACTATGGAATCAGCACAGAATGGGGCCATTCGGCCCATCGTGTCCACGCTGGTGCTGTAACCACACTCCAAGCAAGGCACACAGTTAACCAGATAATTCCTAAAGTTTTGTAAGTTTTCTATCCCATGGGCAGTGGCTGTGAGTGGCACTTGATGGATAAGCTGTGTGTGGGCTGGTTAAGTATGAGGGAAAATTGTATGTGGAACTCTTAATTGGATCCAGGTACCAGTTAATGAACTTAATCAGAGCTTTGCCGGCAGCATTGGCAAAATGCTTCCGACAGTTGAAAGCTATTTAGGAAACTTTTAATCTCCTTGTACAGTGGACGACTGTTAGTTGCATATGTTGTTGCGTTTTCTGAGCGCAATTAGATGCCTGGAAATATTTATGACCACAGGAAACCTACCCCTGCCCATAATATGAAAATTAGCAACTGCATTTTCTCCCTCCCCTGCTGAGAAAATGATTTTGGCCCACGTGCATTTTGCCTTTCAAGTGGGATAATCTGGTCAATCCCATTCCCACTGTGCCTTTTGCTTCTAACTTTCTACCCAGCGCAGGAAACAGCTGCAGCCTGTTCTTTATGACCGTGTTGCCTCTGTGGTTTTTCTTTACACATACGCCATTATGCAGCTGACCATAAAATGACGTGTAAATTAAGTGACACTTTCAGCACAGGAGTAGCCAGAGTTGACCCTTGGAAGTCTACAGTGTACCAAGAGGCAATGGGGGGGGGGGAAACGAAATTCCGGTAGCTGAGCGTTGGGAGAATAAAGACGTGTCTGGTTTTAATTTGCGCTGGAGGTAATGGTATAGCCATGTTCCTTGAGCAGAGTATTTTTTTAACTGAATACAGCATTCATCAAGTAGCTTGCTGCTAATAATAATAATAATCCTTGCATTTGATATTGCGCCTTATCACATCTTCGAGGTGTTATAAGGCGCTATATCAAATGCAGGGATTGTTATTTATTATTATTATTAAACCCCCACCCCACCCCCCCCAGCAGAACCTGTAGAACACATGCTCGTAGATAGTACAGAATGCCACCCCCATCCTATAAGATGAGCGTGCGGGACACTGAGTTTTTATTACAATACAGGTCAAAGTTTAATAAGGTCAAGACATCAGCAGTTATAATAATAATAATAATCTTCTATTTATTATTCTTGCATTTGACATAGCGCCTTATCATGTTATCGAGATGTCTCAGAGTAAGTCAATTACACTTACTGTTAAGTGTGTATTTTGTCGGAGAACACGACGGCCAATTTGCACACATTAGTCCCACATTGAACATATATCCCTCAACACTATAGTCTTCTGCCTCACCGCTAACTTGCTGCATATAAGAGACCTTTTGGCCAGTTAACAGTTAACTACCTCTTACTGCTTTTGGCCATCGTTCCCCCACCCCCGACCTCCTCCCCCAGCTTGGGTGCCCAGCCAGCTGTGTACAGAGCTTTGAGACGTCTTTCCGATGCGAGAAGCACTGTTGATTGGATTGGATTCGTTATCTGAAAGGACACTCAGCTACGCTGGACATTAATGTGCAGATGTGTTGCTCTGTGCTGGGAGAACAAGAGGGAATTCTAGCAAAAAAAAAGTGCATGTTGGAAAGTTGAAAAAATAATACAGTTGTCTACATGCAGACTCATATGACCCCATTTGGTGGAAAATCTTACTGCCAAACCACATGCATGCTGCATTACACATGCTAATTTCCCTAACAGCCGAAGCCATATGTTGCAGCAAATGGCAAAAATACATCAAATGTAATGATTTCACCCGTACAGTGCTAGGGTTATAAAACACGGAATGGAACAATAATGTGATTGAGGGTTTCTTTCGATTTTTGTGTATCTTAATAATAATAGTCCCTTCAAAATAAAAATAAATTTTGAATAATAATAATGTTCAACAATAATAATAATGGAATCCTGGAGCTCAGTGGTTAGAGCACTCGCCTCGCATGCGAGAAACCTGGGTTCAATTCTCGGCAGGGCAAAACCTTGGGCAAGTTTTCTTACTCCACACGCCTGATAATAATCCCTCAAGAAAAAAAATATTGAACTGGTCACTTGAATCCACGACTGTTGTGCGCAATTGTCTGCTGCATTTCGCCCACAAATATATGGTCAATTCACTGCGCAGTATATTCTGAAATGCTTTGAGACATCTAAAAGATGGGAAAAAGTGCTATATCAAATGCAAGGATTATTATTATTAATGTGGTCACTCAATCCACGACTGTTTGTGGGACACTTCCGTGCGCGATTGGTTGCCGTGTTTTGCCCACAAAACACAGTCATTACACTTTACAGTATATTGAGTGAAGAGCTTTGAGACATCTCGAACATGTGATAAGGTGCTATATCAAATGCAAGAATTCTTCTTTTTCAAGGGGACCATGTCAGATCAGCGCTTTTGTGCAGGTTTGTTCGTTCTCTCTGCTGCAGCGCAAGAGTTCAACTTTTATTAGCCCAAATCACAAGATTTGGTCAGTGTGAATGAAGAAGGCCCTTTGGCCCATCCGATCTCATCCCTCCAGATCAACCACTTCTGCCCCCCCATTGCCACATCAAGCTACTTTTTTAAAATCCTACAGCACTAGACACCATTTGGTACATTTGTATGATTTTTATTGGTGGTGGCGTTAAGCCTACTTTTGTACTTGTTCTGTTGTCAACACAACACCACACCCTTTAAATTCCGCCCAAGGCTCGTTGAATTATGCTCTTGTGTGTGCAGCTGGTCAGTTTGCAGCACTCTGGTTTAGCTTAACGTACGAGGGTCGAGGGTTTCTTGCCATCCTTCATCACTGCTGGCTGAACGAATCCGGGAAATTGTTGGTGTTATTGGTGTGGTCTGCGCGCATAGTCAGCTCGAGGGTGTCCAGGAACGAGCTCCTCTGTGTCCAAAATGTCCTACAGCCTGCAGCAAGCAATCAGGAAACACAAAAGGATGCTCTCGATGTCTCTGCACATTTTCAGATTCGCAACTGAAGTAACTGTAATCCATTCAGGCCATTGAAATCCAAAGTCGATGGCATAGAGACCAGAAAATATTCTGTACATTATAAGCGCCGTGTCTTTTTTTGTAAGTGGGGGCGGGTGTTAAGAATTGTGAACTGTAACGTGTAACTCAGAACAAAACAGGATAGAACCTGCTCATGAGCAACAGTGAAACTGAGCCATAACAAAAAATGTTAAAAGGTAATTAATGCGTGAGATGAAAATCAGTTCCTAATGTAAAATAGCTGTACACTTAAACTTTGCTCTTATTGTTAGCTCTCTGGGTCCTATTTATTTCTTGGTAAAATTACTATCAGGTTATTGATCCTAGATGTGTGTTTCTTTCACAAAATATACAGTAAATACACTGTCTGGCTTCTCAGATTCAAATGCTCAGAAATATCCCAAAATAGAAATGACAAAATAAAATATTGCTAAAACATTCAAATTGCAATTCAGGCAAATGGCAATTCTCACTTGTGTGTTTTATTCTATGTCACTTAAGTTTGGTTAGGTTGAGCTACAAACTTTTATATAGAACTTTGAGTTCTGCGTAATCGTTGTTTTTTAAAACTATATTCTTGTCCAACATTTCCAACTCATCTTGTACTTGCAGCTAAAACTGAGGCGAAAGCCCAAGACAAGAACAAGTTGGCTCTCAAAGGATCAGGCTTGCAGCGGTCTTCGTCTGATGCGGGTAGGGAGAGGATTGGAGAGGCGCGTAAACCTCCATCGGGCATTTCTAGACCCGCCACAGCTGGCTCTTTTGGCTACAAGAAGCCGACTACTGGCACAGCAACTGTGGTGACTGTCGGAGGAAACTGTGGGTCGACGACAAAAGTTCAGAAGTCCACAGGTATTCCCGTCAAACCCAACTCCAGAAAAACTAGCCTGGACGTTTCTCAAAGCCAAGATGGTTTTATGTCTGCAGGAGCAAGGACGAACGTGCAGTACCGTAGCTTGCCACGTCCGGCCAAATCCAGCTCCGTCACCATCACAGGCCGAGGAATGGGCAACAGACCCGTCAGCAGTAACATAGACCCGAGTCTCATCAGCAGCAAGCATGGGGGCATCCCTGTTTCCCGACTGAAAGAACCCTCAAAGATAGGCATGGGAAGGCCAAGCTCAGGGCCGGTGAATCAGACTGACCGAGAGAAGGAGAAAGCCAAAGCCAAGGCAGTAGCTTCTGACTCTGAATGTACAACCGTATCGAGTTCGACAAAAAGCATCTCGACTGCGGAAGGGAGCAGCAAATTGCAAGGAATGCGGCAGCAAGGTTCCAAGCTCTCTGAGATCTCATCCCCAACGGCGCACAGGTAGGCAATAACTTGGAGCAATTTGATCAGGTAGTCTTTTTTGTGCACATTTCAGGTGCACATTATGATGAAATCTAGTAATAGCCCTTGCATTTTGGTACAGCTGTTTCATGCCGTCGAGATATCTTAAAGTGTTTAGCACGATTTCATCTCATACCTTCGTACCCCAGAGTTATTATAAGGCAATGTGGATGATGGGGTATATAATAATTCTTAAATTTGGGAGAGGCCATTTCACATCAATACGATGTTTTGAAGCGCTCCCCCGTATATACTGTAAAGTGCAGTGTGTGTGTGTTTGGTGGGCGAATGCACAGGCCAAATTGTCCTACAAGCAAACAACTACTAACACCAACATCTCACAGGTGTGGCATGCAGATATCTCCTGCCACTCCATACCAACTTGCAGATCATGTGCATACTCAGATGAGACTGATTTTTCTTATTCCTATCACCCACCCACCCGCCACCCCACACACACGCTTATACACAAGCATATTTCTGCTTTCCTGATAATGGATGCTCCACCATCCTAAAAGCTTTATCTCCCCGGTTAATTAATGGAAAACTCATCATTATTATAAGTAGATCAGTGAACTGTCACTCAACCTACCTATTGAGCTGAGTCTCATTTGATATTATCCAGAATAGAGCACAGCTGATGGTGATCTTTCAATGTTCATTTATTGTTCCACCCGTGCAGAATTCGAGCTGAAATCTTTGGAGGACAGTTTTGTTTGGCAAGGCTCCATATTCAGTTTGTCATGTAAAATACAAAACAGACCTACGTAAAATCTAAATAATATTCCACCAATTGGTTGTTTGCTTCGTGCTCGTTTGTAGGACATTTACTTTGTGCACTTTACAGCAAATCCCGTGAAGCGCTTTGTAAAGTCCTCCTGACGTGAAAGGTGCCACATTAAATACCAGATGATTATTATCTTATTCTTATTTACTGTGTTGAACAATCAAGTCAAATTGGCTTTTTCATTAATCCCTTTCTGCAATTTTTAAAGCATAATATTGCATATTTCTAGAAGCGGTTAAATTGCTTCATTACGGAGGCTTTATGTGGATTCCTGTGGCTCAGTGGTTAGAGCACTCGCCTCGCAATCGAGAGACCTGGGTTTGATTCCCAGCAGGGCGAAACCTTGGGCAAGTTTCTTTACTCCACACGCCTGATAATAATCCTTCAAGAAAAAAAAACAATTATAAATTGGTCATTTTCAATCCATAACTGTTTGTGGGACACTGCTGTGCGCAATTGGCTGCCACGTTTCGCCCATAAAAATACAGTCAATTCACTTTACAGTATATTCTGTGAAGCGTTTTGAGACGTCGATAAGACGTGAAAAGCGCTATATCAAACGCAAGGATTATTATTATTACTTATTATTTCCATTTTGTAGTTTTGTTGATTCTTACGTGAGTTCTTAAGTCTGCTTTTTTCCAAGCATTTTATAAGGGTTTCAAGTCAATAATAGCTGAAAAATGTTTTGTGTACTATTTAACAAAATAAACTCTAACCTGTGATGATTGGATTCCACAAATAGTTGAGACGTAAAGCAGTGAAGCTTATTGTGTTAGCTTCAGTATTGTATTTGGAAATCTTTCACAAATTTATCCATTCGGCCCATCATGTCTTTGCCGGCTCTTTGAACAGTGCTTTTTGACCAAATCAGTCCCATTCCCCCGCTCTCTCCCCGTAGCCCTGCAAACTTTTCCTCCCCAAATAATTACCTACTTCTCTCTTAAAAGTTGTTCTGCAACTTCGCAAATAAAAAAGTTTGATTTGCGATGTTGCAGTACAGAAATAGAGAAATCGTCTCAAGGTCATTTGATTTCAAACCAGGAGAAAAATATCTTCCCTTGTCTTGCTTGAGAGACATCTGCTCAGAAAATTCTCGCAGACAAAAGATAATTTCGCCCTTTTTGTTTAAAGCTGGCAATAAATCGAGATGGTATTAAAATAAATCATCGTAAATAATTATGTGTTCATTAAAGTGACAATTGAGGATTGGGAGACAGATACAATTTGCTTTTCATCTACTGGGTGCAGGTTTCAATTTCGCCCAGTGAGAGATCTGTGCCTGGGATTTCCTAGTAAAGTATCAGTGATCTGAATCCACAGCACGTAATGCAGCAATAGTTTGCATCAGGGTGGTTTAAGACGTTAAACAGAAAGAAGACATTCCATTATTTTGTTATTCACACGAGACCAACCTCACAACTCGTATTACAAAAATGAAGCTGCATGATGACCCATAAAGGTTCTAACTGTTTTTGTACAATAAAAAAGCTTTTAATCCCCTTCCCTCTTGAGTAAGGCTGGTTTTTATCTGACCTGGTTTCTCCCAGCCTTCCTGTTAACATATTTCAAATGATCATTATGTTTTGCTGAAACACTTTTTTGATGTCTGTACTTAATTGTCCTTCACAACCTATATGTAAGCTGTGCCCTCTTGGCTCGTCAAAGGTCAAAGAACTCCAAGATGTGATCCTACGTGAAGGGCACTGTATTAAGTTGTCCATTGTCTTGCCGTTTCGGCATATCTGAAAGTACTGTTCTGGCTTTACTTTCTTTAATCCACTTAGCACCTTACATACCTCTGTAAGTCCTCCTCTAAGGCATCCTTTTCAGAGCCCGAAGAGCCCTTCCTATTATCTAGACACTTCTCATATCACAGGCACCTAACATTGAGAAGCCACTTTGCCCCTCCCCTCTTTATTGACTGAAAGGTCTGACTGGCCTTCTTGTGACCAGAAAGTGTACATAATACTCCAGGTGTGGTCTGACCTGAGCACCGTACAAGTTGAGTGTGTCTGGGGATCTGAACTCGGCTGATTTGCAGTGTAGCCCAGCTTCCTGTTTGCCTTGTTTACAGTGGTGTGATATGATTCACACTTCGGAGTTTGGGCTTCAGGCACTTTTGCATTAACAAAACTCTAGGAGATTGATCTGTTTCTAATTGTAGTATAACTAATTAGCGAATGCTTTATGCAGCTACTGTGTATAGAACAGTCCCTTTTCCCACCACTGTTAATTGCTTACCTTGAAACACTGTACAATCAAAGACCTATGCTGGAAGATCATCCCATCCACGCAATTCATTCCAACTGAAACCAATTAACAACTGCTTAATTTTATTGATAGTTTTCCAGTCTTTTAAGATCTTGCAGTGTTGTACTTCAGGCGGTTCCAAGTTAATTTTTCTGTACCCTTACGATGGTGTTCCATCTGTTTATGGGCATTCATTACAAATTTCACAGTCACTACACTTTGCAGTATATCCTTCTGACATCCAAAGCCCTATATCAGATCCGAAACAGTTATTATTATTATTATTATAATTATGTTTCCTTGGAATATTGCAATGCGATCACACGTCATATTAACAAAATGTACATCACTGTTTTCTCCCCCGTTCTCTTTCTTTCCCTCCCTTTCCACAGAGTGATGAGTTCTAAAGGAATCGGCAAACCGCCCGCATTGGCCAACATTGACAAAATCAACTCTAACAGCCTGGATTCTCCAGTCTCGGCCACCGGATCGGTCACCAGCAGCATCGGCAGCGACACCTTCCACAAGCTCTCCGAAGCCCAGACAGCTGTGAGTGGTGTGACTCCCTGCCTCACCCCAAGCCCTGCCCCGGTCCTTAATGTAAACTCGGGGAGTTTCAACCAAGGGCTGGGAATGGTGAGCAATTTCATGAGGGGCAAGGAGACGCTGATGTACCCGAAGCTGAGCAGCCTGCACACGAGCATGGAGTCTTTAGACCTGCCACTCAGCGTCCCGTGCTCCTTCTCCGGGAGCAGCACGCTATCACGGGAATCACGGGAAGAGATTCCAAGTGGGCTGACATGGACTGGGAGCTCTAGATTCTCGCAGATGGAGAGGTAAGCGACGCAGCAGAAATCATTTACAGTATTACTGGCCCACGTACTGCAGACAATGTTGCTCGCACGCAGACAGCGAGGATTTCAATTAGGTTATATATTTAGAATCTCAGGAATGGCACAGATGGTGCTCAAGGGGGAATTTCATTCTTCAGGTCTGCAAGTTTCTTTCTAACTTTCAATCCTGTCGTTTGTTTTTACAAGAAGAAACAGCTCTATTTCGAACATGTCTGTCACTAACTGTATCACTAGTGAGTGGATCTAAACCAGAGAGTCATTAATGATCATCCTCGCTCCCTCATTCCAGCTCCCAGAGAGCGGGAGAGTCCAGACACATAACAGCACGCTTTTGATAACCGGTTCTAAATGGTCTGCATTGGGTGGATGTCATATAAAGATGTCAACAGCTCCTTCGGAGGTTTGATGTGACACTTGGGGTGCCTAATATCACTCGTGACTACGGTCATGACAGGCAGGCAGTAAATGTTACTGTTGATGGTGTTGAACAGTGCTTGGAGAAGCTCCAGTTTCCTTTATCCTTTGTGCTACTTAATAAGCTCTAGTCAGCTGGGGAAGTGCAGCCTCAAGTGGAATCCATTCCGAAATCATCTCAAGTACTGATTGTGCATTCTTAAATCCGTGTGTGTAACTTCAGCTGTTTTCCACTTTTTTGTTGTTGCTGATAATGAATATGGGTTCAACTGGATGGGTGGTTAAATGTGAGCACACAGCCTAACCTTGATAAGTGCCCCTTTATGACGCTGTTTGGCTTATGAGGCAGATGTCATGTGATCCCTGTTGACTTGAAGACATGTGCTGGCTGAGTACCTGCACCGCTATAAAACGATCACCTTTCCAGGTCATCGGGTCGCTGCCGATGTCACTTGCTGCAAGCTATGTGCAGAAAACCATGCCAGAGATGGCCTCGTGACCCGGAAGTTGTCCTTATTTTAAATGTATGGGAAGCTGAGGGGTGACTCACATGCAACGATGTCACCAGCCACGATGCGGAAGTGCTGACCAGTGATCGTGCCCCTTTATTAGGCCAGTTGAGATTTTATAGACCTCGCAAACTACCGCCTTGGTTTGAGGTGCAGCATCACCAGATTGGTGGGGAGAGGGGCTGTTGGACAGCTACTTGTCCCACAAGGACTAATCAATAAGAAATAGGAAAGGGAATCTCTCGGGTAGCTCTTGGGCACCACCTAGCAGCATAAACGGCTGCTTCCCATCCCATCCTGATCATGAGAAATGACGCAAGAGTGAGAGAAAGCAACGTGTCTAAATTTCGGTACATGGTGGCTGAGAGAAAACACAATCAATGAAGCAATTTTGGTAAAAACTGATCAAACGGAATTATCACTCTCCCATCATTGTTATTGTCCTATCTCCACCTGCAAATCCAAGTGTATCCTTTCACCCTTTTATGGCTCATCATTGATCCCATATCTGTGTTGTATCCATATTGTCCATATTTTAAATAAGTGTACATTATTGTACTCATACTGTCTGTTTAAGTGAGTCTGTGCATTGTCTGTGAAATGTGGTATCAGTGTTCCTGTTTGTTTTTGTAGTGCACATCGCGACAGAAATACTCTGCCGAAAAAGGGACTCAGGTAAATTACCTTTTGGTGCGGTTTGCTTCACGTTTTGGTGTCCAATTCTAAAAGTCCATCCACACCACGCACAGTGTAGAGAAATTTCCCAGTTTTGGGGGCACGCAAGTGTGGAACTCTCTATAGTTCGGATATCCTTAAGCGGGTGATGGGTTTCCGCATGTGGCAGACACCCGGCTGGCCAAACAAATTCTAAGAGTCCTGTAGATCTTGTGGTACAGGTTAAAAGCTCTATTCATGGGACTAGAATTTGACTGACTGGTATTCCAGCACCTATAAGTGGATTCTAGTGTAGGAAGAATCTATAATGTCAAACAGGAGCAGTCAAATAGATAGAGCGACCAAAAGACCATTTTGGACTACCACGGATACAACATGTGCAGTTCAAATAGACTGACCCTTCTATCTGAAGGGTCAAGTGAAGGTGGTGAGACTGAATGTTGTAATAGGAACCTTGTAAATAAGTCAGACAATCGGCTCTATTGTTTTATTCGTTGCGATGAGGTGTAGTTGGGGTTCAAGAAAGAAAATGCAGAAAAGTAGCCTTTTCATATTTCCAATGTCATGCAGGTGGACGTATTCTCATTCCAAAAATATATATAATTTGTAAATGCATTTAATTAAAGCGTTTACTGCATTAATGCGCTATCTGTTATGGACGTCTCATGTGAAACCAGTCATCAAAATATATGTTGTGCCGGTCGGTGCATTGGTGTGCATTTTATTACACAATAAATAGGTGTTCCACAAATGCTATGATCTTTATCCAGCTCACCCATGTTTCGGCAGTGAAGAAGAACAGACTAATGAAATGGAAGCTTAAGATCCAGAAGTATTAGCAAGGGTATAATTTTATTTAACCACTTCAATTAGCGTTTCTGTAGTGGAGAGGAAATCATTCAGTCAACCAGCCATGCAAACCCATACATGATGGCTCAGCGAATTAAGGCATTGTGTGTGCTATGTTATGATGAGCCATACAATCTAGGACAAGGAAGAGCCCAGGATGAATTCCTAGTTTGAGTTGAGTTAACTGATTGTTAATTAATCTTTTCCATGCACTAATGTCCTGTGCTACAGTGCCAAAGGTTCTTTGGTACCTTCCCCGTGCCCATTTTCTTGCTTGACCCTTGCCAGTAAGTATCAGCTTGTTTGACCATGAGGGATTTGCAGTCAAACTAATCTCGTCTTCAACAAATATCTACATTGATGCACTTTCCATCAGTGAATAACGATCTGAGATTAGCCAGCTCAACACACTTGATTGAATCCAGTATTCTACTGGTTCATATGACACAGTACTGCATTGGGCAGTTCATTAATATGCTGAACCTTTGAGGAGCTTCTCCTTTCTTAACCATTGCTGTGCTGAATTCCCTTTGCCATTATCCACTGTGTTTAACAACGATTCTTACATTTGATATAGCGCCTTATCACGCCAAAGTCTCCAAAGCGCTTCATGAGGTTTTCTGTAACGTGCAGTGCCTGTGCATTTGAGGGAATTAGTACTGCATAAGACTTTATGAAGAATTCTTGTAGGATATTGGGTGATTCTTTAAACAAGGTTGCTTAAAAACTGAGTTGAGTGGTTGCTTTATGTAGTGCAATGGAAACTTATTCATTCCCCTTGAGTGCAGATATTACTTGTATTTTCTAGCTGACAATGGCAACATTAACATGGTACTGGATGGACTGAACAGCATATCATATCAAACAGCAGAGACATGAACTACTACATATACACACTCGTGTGAATACAAATGTATGGATATGATGAAGCTTTTCCATCCCCACTGGAACATTTTTTTATAAATGCATCAATTTAGTGTTAGTTTTTCATGATCACTTCAGAAACGTGCTATTTGCTTTATGGTCCCAATTTTATTCACACCCTAAATTGAACGTATTTTGGTGTAATGATGATCCTTGAATATAGATGACAGAAACAACCAACCTTTAGGAAACACAGGTGACATAAAGCACACATGGTTGTTGGGATGCAGCCTTTTAAAAGGCTCAATACCTTTTAAAACCAAAGTTTCTTCTGCCTCAGGACTTGCACATGTTTAGAAAAAGTGCTTGGAATAGATCAGGGCAGTTGATTACAGTGTATTCTGTTTATAATTAGAAGTAATAGTGGCTGATTCAATATACTGTGAATTTACCATAAATAGATCTTTTTCCCCTAAAATTCAATCTTGGGCCGTTTCTAGTTTATTTCTATATTTACAAGAAGTCATTGTGTTATTGTGAACAGCCAAGATAAGTATGTAGCAGTGATTCCAAGATCATAAGCTTCAGTACTTGCATTTGGCTTCTCAGATGATTGGTTACAGTCAAGAGAATAAATAGACCTTGTTTGGTCTTAGGGAGATGTGTTTCAACTGCACAGAAAAACCTTTGTAATCATTGCTAGTCCTGAGTTCGCCCAGATTGAATGAGTGGACAGTTCCACTTTGAGACGTCTCGGAGACGTGATAAGGCGCGATATCAAATTCAAGCATTATAATTCAATTATACGGTGAAATAGGCCATTGGTTGGGGACTGTTACTTGATATTAAATTGTTATGGAATCCTGAATATAACAATGTGACACAATACAAGGCTGTATTTTTCACTAGGCTGGTTCATTTGGCAAGATTCTTACTTCTGGGTCAGAAGCTTTGAGACATTCTCCCGAAGTGAAAGGTGCTATATAAATGCAAATTGTATTGTAAGTTGTGAGTTCAAGCGCCTAATTGGGACTTGACCTCATTGTCGAGCTGACACTCCAGTTGGTACAAGGGAAGCACTGCGTTCTCTGAGGGTCTACCATTCGGATGAACCGACTATCTGTTCAGATAGATGTTAAAGCTCCAGTGACACTATTGAGAAAGAAAAGAGATTCAGAGTGTCTGAGCAACAGATAGCATGGTTTTTCACTTCCTTGCTATTTGTGGGACTTTGTGGCCTACAAATAAGCCATCACTACACATAACAGCAATGTTCTATGAATCGCTTAGAGACATTGTGACGTATTAGGTGCCTATCAAATTCCTTAGATGATTTATTATTCTCTACAATTTTACATTTCTTAAAGTTACATTCAAACTAAACCAGCGCCAGTATCCTAGATTTTGAGAGCATTATCTGTGTGTGAATGTGTGCTTTACTTGCACACTGTCAAGCGACGATAACTGCACACAGGTGAACACACTACTGTAAGGAAAAGCCCTGGTTTTGACTAGCTTAGAGGTAGTTTAAAGAATAAGTACTCCAGAAAGTCACGAGCCGGAATCCTTATTACAGATTCTGTGTTTGGGTGAATTCCTTCCATTTTTAGCCAGCCACGTGTTACGCCTTTGGAAGGCAAGGAATATATTGAAATTGTTTTCTTTGCTCTCCTCGACACTCACTTCCTGTTGACTGATTGCTCAGTGCTGTACAACATTGTCCCGGAGAAGTCCACATAAAGACTTCTTGCTTTCCTGGATGGGAAAGGATATGTGCTGATAAATGTGCGCTGATAAATGGCGCAAGACGGAGGAAACATAATCTGTTTTTAAAAAAATCTGTGTTTATACATTAAAAGGTTCTGTGTGCATTAGTACCAATCTTGTAACCAGTCTTGTAGCCAGTTACCTGAAAATACACAGCCAGTCGGTATACCTGGTAAAATGCTTTGAGACATCCTCGTGACATAAACGGCGTTAATCAAATGCAAGAATTTTAATTAGACTGTGTTCAAATTGGCCACTGTGTTTCACCCACAAAATACATAGTCAATTCACTTTACAGTATATCCTGTGAAGCCTTGACAACGCGATGAGACGCTATTTCAAGGATTATTATTATTAATCCTTGTACCATTTTAGATATACTTTTATCTTTGAATCACAACAACCCAAGTTCTACATGTCTGTGAAATAAGGTAATAAAATGATTTTACTTCAATAGCTTCCATATTCGGTGTTCAGCTTGTATAATAGTCTTGACCCCTGTTTTTGTGTGTGTGTGTGTGTGTTGCAGATATGGAACAAGTTTGCAACCGGAAGACACGAAGGAATGGTTCCACGCACGTTCTATTGGAGCTCCTGTGGATGCCGAGAGCCAGTTACTAGCTTCCCCTTCCACTATTCCGTTGTCAAATTTAGGTCAGTTTATATGTTGCTGTCTACTGCACAAACGTGGATAATTTCTGTTGGCTCTCTATCTAATTTTTTGCTAATTATTTTCACTATTACACGGTGGAACATGTCATTGTTGCAAATTTTTAAATAAATAACCCTTATTTTCAATGCGGTATTGAAACCTCCAATAAAGCCAGAGTGTTTCAAAAGAGCAGTTATTGAATATTCCTGCAGGCTTCACAATAAAGGGCTGTTGAACACTATCTTGTAGTTAGAGCCAAGTTTTCAAGGAGCATTTAATATTAATTCTTGTTGGCAGATCAATAAAGAAAAGCAAGAAAGCCACTCCTGACATCTGATTAGCTTTATTAGAGTAGCTCTCTTACAGTGATTTTGTTAACATCACTGTGTGTGACCTGAATAATCTTATCGCGTCTCGTCAACGGAGCTTGGAATTTCTCTACAGTTTTACCGGCAGATTTGGGGGTGGGGGTGGGGTGAGGGGTGGGGTGTGTGTTTTGTTTCAGTGAAGGCTTAATGTGCATCAAACTGTGAATTTGACTTTGCCGTAAATTGATTGTTCAATGGCGGCACGGCAAGTCAAGGCTGGAATTAACAGCTATTTCAAAAGCAGGAGATCCTCATTAGTGACAGCGAAGTACTACAAAGAGTTCTTTGTTGTGGACTCTATAGCAAGTGAGCAGCAACAACATCAAGGAAGCCCTCACAGAAAGGAAGCCTAGCAACGACTCCACACCAGCCAGTGGGACATGCCATCACTTCACCCAGTGTTTATGCATAAATCCTAATCCTTTCGCCACCGTGTTTCTACCACAAAATCCCCATATATTCCAAGGACATGTCAAAAGAGTATTGCTTTTTGTTAATTGGATTTGGAATGCCCTGAAACACTATGTGATGAGCAACACGGTGTGAGAAAGTGTAACTTAATTGATTACTGCAGGTCAGGGTTAAAGCAAAGCACTTGCGTTCTGCTCCACATGCACGCACTCATTTGAACAAAGAAGTCTTTTGAAGGACATCTCTCGGGTTGTAGCATCACAGAAGACAACCCACCATTTGTACAACTTTGCAATCGGTCAGAAGTATAACATTTGTGTGTGAACTGTCCCAGTAACTGGTTAAAGCCACCGTACAGTAAATACATGCAAACGGTAAATTAAGTTCCATTTATGGAATATTTTGACAGAGCAATATGTGGAAATATGTAACACGTTATATTAGCTGACGGTACAAGACATGACATTTAAGGGAGAAGCGTGACAGATTAAAGGGTGGAACTGCATTCAACTTGCCCTTAGCAACTGTGTGTGGTCTATTTTTAGCAACGTTTTGAGTTATTGTCAGGGAATGGGACCGAATGGAACACAATTTCCACACAAGTACAAAACCTTCTCCCAAGTGTGTGCTTTGTACATTAGCTCATTATTTTTATTCTACAAAAGTGACAGCTTTCTCAGTGCGTTTTTTTCTTTTAATCCTTTTACATAGTAACTTGCGTACACCATCTGTAATATGAACTATTTGTCAAACGAAAGTGATGTAAAAAGAGTTGAGGGGACATTTGTTTTGCCAAGTTGATGCAGTTTGACCCAAATTATAGCCCTGAGGAGTATCTTAACATAAATGCCCCCCAAAAAGGTGCTAATGTTTAGAAAATGGTGGACACTGAGTCTTCAGTCTTTGTAATTGCATGTTTGGCATAAAACGACCTTAACCTTCAATAATAACAAAAACAGAAGTCGCTGGGCACAATCAGGTCAGGCAGCATCTATGGAGAGAGAAAAGTGAGTTAACGTTTCAGGTCAATGACCCTATTGTCAGAATTGCCTTCAATGCTGATAAGAGAGAAATGAGATCCAGGCATCTTAATGAGATTCACAGCAATTCAGTGCAAGACCCAAATACAACATCAAATTGCCCCAACCCACCCACACACACACACACCCCCCACACACACACACGCCCACACACACCCACCCACACACACCCACCCACACACACACGCAAACACCCACACATCAAAAATCCACACGTGAACCTGATTCTGCTGCTGCCTTACATTTGCCGAACTGTGCAGAATTTGCTGGTCTTTTAGTTCAATACCAGTTGTCTCTTTCTTGATCCGGCAGCGAGTCCCACCGCAGCCTCCCAGCTCAACAGCCCGACTCCAAAAATTATGCGGTCAAACAGCATCCCGACCCACGACTCCTCTTTCGACCTGTACGGAAGCTTGCAGCTGGGCAGCACCATGTCTCTGGTAGAGAGACCGAAAGGAATGATCCGCTCGGGTTCCTTTCGAGACCCCGTTGATGACGGTAAGATATTTATTTTGCTCTTTGTTCGGTGTAGAGTTGATTGTTTTTTTTCGACGCTTCGGTTGGTTGCAAAATCCATGAAGGTCATTTACCCCCCCCCCCACCCCAAAGTGAGATCACCGCAACTTTAACCCTTAGAGCACTATTTTCTTCCCCCCACCCCACCCCCCGCCCATACATTTTTCTCCACATGGTCCGTCTCCATTCCTATCTCACATAAAACGCTGTCAAAACCCTCAGTCATGCCTTCACTACCTCATGACTCAACTTTTCTCATGCACTCATCGATGTCTTCCTGGTTCTGCTATCTGCAAATGCCAGTTCATTCAGTTCAGTTCATGCCATTGACCCCAGTCCTCACCCGGCTTCACTGTCTCTGTCGCCCCAAGGTATCAATTTGAAGATCTTCATCCTCCCCTAAAAATCTACCTCGTCACCTGCCGTGTGGAGTCCTGTAGCTCAGTGGTTAGAGCACTCGCTTTGCAAGTGAGAGACTTGAGTTCAATTCCAGGCAGAGGGCGAAACCTTGGGCAAGTTTCCTTACTCCACACAGAGCCTAATAATAATCCCTCCAAAAAACCAAAAACAATAATTAAATTGGTCATTTTTCAATCTACGACTGTTTGTGGGACATTGCTGTGCGCAATTGGCTGCCGCGTTCGCCCACAAATATACAGTCAATTCACTTTACAGTGTGTTCTGTGAAGCGCTTTGGGACGTCCTCCCGACGTGAAAAGCGCTATATCAAATGCAAGGATTATTATTATTATTAAGTGTTCCCAGGTGTTATTCTACATGAAGGGTTCTGTATAAGTACAAGTTGTTGTAAGATGTTTTAATTCTCAACAGGGGAGATCTCAGTGTTAAAAAGTGCACATTCCTTGCTGTGCTATTTGCTTTTCCCAAGTCCTCAAATTAAATCTCAATCTCTCAATTTTAAATCTAACTCTCTTGCAAAGTAAAAAGAATTGCATATTACTCTCAATGAATTATTTAAGATGAGATCTAAAATTCTGACTTACATTTTGTTCTGTGCTTTTCTACATTGATCGGGCCTTTTTGCTCTCTGTATTTCACTCCGCAACAACTTATTGAAATACAATGAGCTTAAACCATTAGTCACATGCATAACGGAAGATGCTTCCGATCTCCATAACAACCGGTATTAGCGCTCATTTGTGCAATTTATTAATGGAAAAGATTTTAAAAATTGTTTGATTACAACTGCAAAACCAAATGAATTCAATATCTTTCAGTCACACCCAGTAGTGCTCGGTATTAGTGCACATTATTTTTTCTCCAACCTCCGTTAAACTAATATATATTAAAATAATATAAAATGCGTTGCTTAGGTGCAAAATGTAATTTTCCACTTGACTTGGAGTAAATCTGCTTTGCTCTTAAGTGGGAACTGTGACATTTGACCAAACCTAATTTATGTACAATTTATGGGATTAAATATACTGGCATTATCTGCAGGAAGAGAAGTGTTACAGCTGCATTTATGTGTGTGTGTGGGGGGGAAGGGGTTGAACATTGGCCACTTTTGCATGTATCCATATACGCTTTTCCCCAGAGCCTGCAATAAATAATCAATTGGTGCATCCGATTCAGAAATGGAAAATCCAGAGAACTGTCAATTAATAGTCAGTGAATGGCTCTCAGAATGGAAGCCATAATTCATAACTATATTTGAGTTGTAATCGGCATTCATTAAAATTTGTTTGGTGCTCACATACGTCAAATTAAAATCGTCGTTATTTTATTAGCGTTATTGGTAGGCTTTCGCTTATCAACATAGACATTACGCTTCACAGTAAAATCCTGTGAAGCACTTTTAGATGTCTCAATGACATGATGAAGCTCTATGTTTCAATGCAAGAATTATCGTTAGCTTATTTGGCAATTGCCATTAGGCTTACAAATTATTTCTACAATTATTTCTACGTCAAATACTCACTGACTTTTCCAGAGCTGAAGAGTCAGTGTGAGCTCTCAGCACAATTCCATTACTTGTACCACCGATCACCACATTTTCACTGCTGATCTTGGCGAGGTAGCAGAATTTGCATTTGGGGCGTAGGGGAGAGGAGAAGAAAATGGTCAAAACCGCTAGAGCAGTGCTTAGCTGCTAAACGTTTTGGTCGGTCAACCAAATGCATTGTTCTTCATTGAATTTTTCTTCATTTATGGCCTCAGTAGCTCCTGAATCGCTGTATCGCGGCTCAGTAACTCCTGAAAACAATGTATTGATCTGGCGAGGTCGTGCCTGTATTGGTGCAAGGGATTGGCGGGCCACTTCCAGATCAACCAGTTGGAGACCCTCTGGGCTAGAGCCTTTTCTGATGTAAGCTGACATTACAGTGACTCTGACATGGTTGTAGTCCAATTCCGGCCAGTGTGACTTGTATTAATCTTGCATTTGATATAGCAGCTTATCACAAAGCTGAGGTGTCTCAAAGCGCTTCACACGATTTTACTGCGAGGAGTAGGGGACTGCATATATGGACTCGGACATATCAGGATTGGGAGATCAAGACTGGCATAAAGGTCTGAATGGAAAAGAGAGGACGTTCCATTTTTCAAAAGAAAAAAATAATAATCCTTGATTTTGTGGGCAAAAACTTAATAATTAATATTGCAACACGGTTTGAAATCCCGCCGTGCACCAAATCTCCTCAGATCTCCTGAGAGGAGTTTAAGCCTGATAATTGTCCTACATTTATAATCGGGCGACTATTTCAGCATCTTCTGAACTCAAACTGAGATTTCAGAGATTCGCCCGGAAGAAAATTGGGACCCAGTGGTGATGATGTATTGCTTTTCCCACCCTTAGCTAGTTTGCAATCCCATTTGCGAGTTGAAAAGAATAGACCAAGGACTTGTACTGTCCCAATTATTTTTCTGTCTGCAGAATAACAGGCTGTTTTTTGCAGTAGAATTGCTGATCTCCTAATTGGGGGCTGTCATCTTCCCCAGCATTTCAAAGGATAGTGGCCTAAAATGTGATGGGTTTATGTTTTTTTTCACTTGGCCACAGCTCACAGCAGCAATGAGCAACAGCAAGGAAGTGAATTGGGAGCCCAATTCCTTCAAGTTTTATGCCATTTAGGTGCTGTTTTTTAGACAAAGGCTTGATCGAAACTTGGCTTTTCATGATAAGATGTGAAACCATTCCCCCTCCACCAACTCTCCAGGGTCCTATTGACACACGTGTGCAGTACTTATTTATTTAAAAGAAGTGCGTACTGTACAATTGAGTAATAAATGTGCACACCTGTCGACGATTATTCATTTTAAATGCTTTTTTTTAATGGTTAAAATGTGTGCGAGTGTTTAAATAATAATGGCCGAATAATTTATTTCCCTTTTAGAGATCTCGCATGCAGAGTAAATAGGAACAAATTGCTGTGGAATGCTAGTCAAAATTAGCAAAGTGTCCCTAATGATTTCTTTTGATCTGTCAAGTGAAGACTCTTTTGTCTGCCACTGATAATTGGCTCTGGGATTCAGTTGATGCTCTCTTAATTAATTTGATCTGAAGCTCTGTTTGTAAGTTAAAATATGAAACAATGCTTTTCTCCCCTCCCCTTTCCAACAAGCAGAAAAGCTTTTCATTTATATTCATTTATTAATAATTGCGCATGAATATCCATGACATTCACTGTCATCTATGAAGGCTGCTCTCTGTGTCTTCGGCTGAGTACCAGTCACTTGATGGGTGCTTTTCCCATGCATGTACAATTAGGAATCTGTGTTTGTCCTCTGGTATTATTTTCACTGCAATTAAAACGTAGTTTTGTCGCGTTGTTAAACTGGCCTCTACCAGACCAGCAATAAAGTTCACCCAATGTATCTTTTTTTACTTTATCGAAAGGTAGATACCAAGGCAACGTGTTAAAACAGAACCTCACACCTATCCTGGTCAGTGAAGAGTTAGATCATTTTGGACAGAGCGGAAATATGATTGGTTTCAGTACCGCAGGACCAGGAAGGAGGAAAATCAGTTAGTACGTCTTCTGATTGTCAGACAGTGACCCCCAAGTGGAAAGAGCAAATAGATGACTGTCTTCTGGGTTGGGTTGTAATGCAATACAATGCATGTAATATACTCCAGTGTACTGCTGATGATGGCATGGTCATGCTGGCTCATCGACAGAAGGGTGGGACAGTCATTTTCGTCATGGACTCTTCCCACTCAGCTCCCGTTAACCCTGCAAGCCAAAGAGCTCCAATGGGTAGGGTGGTCTTAGCTGGACATGCAGTGAGAAAGCTCTTAATGGCAAGCCTATGAGGTTTTAGCTAGTCAGACTCCAACAGTACCCCAATGCACACTCTGGGGCCCCCAAGCCTTGTGTTTTGCTTACTTGCACCTAATATTTTCTGGAATTAGATAAGCAGGATATATCCCTCCAGGGGCAGAGTGCGCATTCCATCCCAACAAATATCTCTGGCATTTCCATATGTGGGTGAGATGCATGGAACTCTTTGGTTTGGCTACTCTTAAGCATGGTGATGGGTTTCCGTAGGTTCAGAGACCCAACATAATTACAAATAGTGAAATGCAATGCAACCCCACAGGGTCAGCACGTGTAGGCTCATAAATGATGGACTATCACTTGGACAAGAAACCAAGTGAAACCCACAGCAGGTAGACACGATAGCCTCCTTTATAAAGCAGATGCCGTGTGGAGCCATGGTTGGCTTCGGCCCACAGACTTGCTGGTTTCCCGAATCTGAGTGGAGCACTTCATTACAGGAGGAAAATTCTGCCCTGTTTTATTGCAAGTGTATCTTCTGTCCACCGATGTTGAGCAGCATTGAAATGTGAGGTAAACTGTGCCTGTGGAGGGAGCAGAGAATATTTTCGTTGCACTGTATCTTGACTTGCATTTGTTGCAATGACTCACAATCTGCCCAATTACTGTAGCTATGATTCCCAGAGTACAATACAGTACAAAGTTACATTTTTTTAGCACCTTTCACGCCGGGAGGACATCCCAAGGTGCTGGACAATCAGGGATTTGAACCCGAGCAGTGGGGTTGGGATTAGCGAGGGTGGAGGGCAGGGAGGATATCTAAAATTAGAGTACATCCAGCTACCTAAAACTGTAGACAATTTCCAGTACATGCACAAGCTAGAATTCGTACTGTTTCAATAGCACCTCCAGGCCAGAGCACAGTTAACGCCACAAACACCTGAGACATTGGATAAGGTCTCATGCGATGTCGTTTATATCCAGGTCTTGCAAATAATTTTTTTTAACAGTTTTTGGGGGGGGATATTGTCTGAAGAACAGATGGAAGCCTCACGGGTGGTTCTGCGTGGATGTAAAATCTCAAAGAACCTGCCAGTAGCGAAAGACCATGGCTGCTGGTTGGAAGTCAAAGCTGTTAAATCACTTTATTGTAATGTCTAACTTGTGAAAAACTAAACCCGCTGGCAAATTCAGCACCAACATTTACACAGTGTCGCCTGACTTTCCTAAGACTGTTGTATAATTAAATTAATAATCACCACTCCACCATTTGATTTCAGCTGCTCCATTACATTTCTTTTATTCATTACTCTTCTTATTTGTGCTTTATTTAAAAATTTGGGTTGCCCCATCCTGACGAGTGCGGAGTAGAAACCCTGGCGCGGACTGGTTAGTCCGAGTGGCCTGGTTTCCGCGCTGAACATTCTTTGTAAATCCTGGCCGAGCTGACCAGTTGGTAGTTAAAGACCCCATGGCACTATTCAAAAGGAGAAGGGAGTTTCTCCTGGTGTCCTGGCCAACAATCCCCCACATGCAGCTGGTCATTAGGTGCTCCGAGATGCCATCCGGGGTGAATAGTGCTATATAAATTCAAGTTGTTGTTGTCATTCACTTCCTGGTTGCTTGTGCAATATTGCTATGCACAAATTAGCTGTCACGTTCATCTGCAAAATACAGTCACTACACTTCACGGTATACGGTGTGAAGCGTTTTGAGAAGTCCTCCTGAAGTAAAAGGCACTATATTAAATGCAAGGATGATTATTGTTGTTATTATTAATAATTACCTCTCCATTTGATTTCAGTTGTTAAGGTAGATTTATTTTATTCATTACTTTTGTAACTTTGATTTTGTATTAAAAATAAAACTGAGTCGCTCTTTTTCTCTACATCGGAGAGAGATACAGTAGCTGTGACTGCAGTTGAGGCATGTTGAGATGCTTGTAAGGTTTAAGGGTAACATGTGATTGATTGTAACTTTACAAACTATTTTGCAGTTCATGGCTCGGTTCTGTCGTTGGCCTCCACCACGTCATCGGTTCATTCAGCAGTAAGTCCCGTCTGTTTAATCTACATTACCACCTCAGCAAGATCAGGTTTAAAATCTCTGAATTGAAACGTGCTTGGTCAAGAAACATATTTTGCATCGTAAAAGCTGGTTATTCGACCATCTCTACGTAGCTTCTATGAGTAAAATACATAATGCAAATTATCCCTCGTTTTCCGTTCTTATGAACCTAATAACAGATACTGCTTCTGATGAGAAAGTGAAGGAAATATCTCCTGAACACAGAAATTCTGTCTGTTTCTAGAGCTTGTTGTGCGGAGTCTACAAGTCTTATGTAATCGGGTAGTTCAGCCTAACCCTAAGGAAGCTGTACCAACCTTATGTCCTGCAGGCTGTTTATCATTCTTCATCATGTCTGCATCCCTATCAGTCCCTATTGCCCACAACGGAAGCTCAGTCTTTCACTTGCTCGTCCTGGTATTATTTTTAAACGCAGGAAGTAAATTCAGCAAACCTGTCAAGTTTACCATGCGCTCAACCCTGTGGTGTTCGCAGAATGGTTTACATCACGATGAGGAAATTGACGAACTTGACTTGTTATAATACACATCCTTTTGGTTGCCACCCCAATTTCCTAGGCTGTCTGCGATTCAGGAGTACTGTTGTGCTTGAGTTGTTGCGGGTTGGTGGTGAGTGGGGGGTGGGAGAGTGAAAGGAAGGAAGAGGAGAGGAAGGAAGTGTGCTGGCTTTGGAAATTCTTGTTGGTTCAGTAGTCAGTGTTGCTGCTGATGTTCTCTTGAACCTCGTGGATATCAAAGGTCTTTGCTTCCCTCAGTGGGAAAGAATCCCCTGAGATATAATAAACTGATAGATCAGGCTCAATGGGCTGAATGGCTTTCTACTGCTCCTGTTTTTCTATGTTAGATTTTTATTTTGAGAGATTCAGAAAGCCTGAAAGGGTTAATCTGTAGACAGTACCCTGTTTCTACTTTATTAACATTCCTGGCTGACACATGAATATTCTTTTTTAATTCCGAAAGAGTTATTATTTGCATAAAAGTTGTGCCTTTTTGTTCGCACTTTTTAGAATATATTTGAAAATATTTTCTCATTTTCCTTTTCCAGAGCGAAGACAAGATCCAGACAGAGGTACGGATATTTTGCTTATTTCAGTCCTTCTCATTCATGGATATCCTGTTGATGAGAGTTCGCAATTCAGTTCAAAAGCTGCAATGTTCCCTGTCCATGCATCAAACTCAGCTATAAGATATTCAATGAAGATGTTGGAGAGGGGCAACGATATTGTTCCTGGGTATCAACAGGGCAGGTTACTATTTGGATCTGAACAGATGCTTTCAGTACAGAGAATACAAATACATACTGGATGACCAAAAAGTCATCATGCCATACCAATGTCTAATAAGTCTGATAAAATAAAAAGAAATGATGATTTTTGTTTTAGATAATAGGGTAAGATATCATGTATTTGAAGATGGCCATTCATACAATGCGAACACCTGAGTGCCATGAATTTATGTCTGGTGTAGAAGCTGCTGCCCAAACAGCAACTACAGTCTTAGGTAACAAACAGTGTAACCTGGTGTCAAGGAATATCTGAGAAGACCAGACCACTTGCTAACCTCACTGGCAGAAACCATTACCCATGGAAAGCGATCCGCCAATCACTAATAACCAGGTCCCTAATAACTGGTAGGTAAACAGAGACATTTGGAGAAAGAAAAATCGCTGCACAACAGGACTCCTCACGGAGAATATACTTTCAATATAGGGGGCCGCGGGGGGAGGTTGGCGAGAGGGTCAGGAAGCGTGGAGGCTTATGTGCACCTAAAATGCTGGAACTGTCTCGTTGCCCTGTTGCGATGCCGTAGATTCTGCGTAATTCTAGAATAGTTAATGTGAACTCTGGATAAAGGGGTCGCTTGACTTGTGCATGAAGCATCCCTCGCATTGCTTTCAGTACTCTTTTCATATCAATCACTGCTGAAACCAGAGCACGTAAACGTTTTGGGGGGCTTTCATTTTGAGCTCCAATTGGAAAACCACCTCCAGGAAGTGGTTTTCAAATTAAATCAATCCCATCCCTTAAGGATATATAAATCCTCAGTGTATAATTAGATTTATTTAAAAATTTAAACTCCAAAGTTTTATGGTTTCTAGCCAATTTATTGGACCACCCTTAAAGTTCTCTGATGGGAGAGCACCACCAACACTGCCAGCTCTTTAATACCATTAAAACATTAACTAGTGTTTCGATCAGTCATTTATGTCCAGTACAGATCTGAAAATGTGCTGACTCTCCAGTGAGTGATTCAGAACAGGCAGCCAGAATCTCTTGCCTGTTAGATTTTTATTAGGTAATTAGGAATATCGGGCAAAGACAGGTAATTGGAGTTGAGGCACAGATCAGCCATGATCTGATAGAATGGTGGAACAGGCTCGAGGGGCTGAATTTGCTTCAAATCACTACACAACTGGAAATGATGACATTTCCTATGCCAGTTCCGGACGCATTTCTCTTTCAATCTTCGTTTGAGATGCACGACGCGATTGAGTTGATGGCGAATCCTGTGTGTTTGTTTGTTGCAGCACATTCGCAAGCTCCGCAGAGAACTCGAGTCCTCACACGACAAGGTTTCTGCCCTTACATCACAGCTGTCTACTAATGTAAGTTAGAGCTTTGTAGGAAAATCACAACCGCAGTCATAACACAAAATACCTGCTGTTCGAATGTGATGCACGAGTAAAGTCTGTTTTAAAAACGGGCAAATTGTTTCTCTTCTCGTGAAGGGATTGACTTATTCTGTCCTCTGATTCCATAGCCATAGCCATCCTCCTTGTGATACCACTCCCAAGGTTTCTAACCTGCTCGGGCATTTTTTTATGAGAGAGAGAGAAAACTTTCATCCCATCAGTCTTGATAATCTCTCTATTTGGTAGCACGGTTACCTCTGAGTCAGAAGGTTGTGGGTTCAACAACAACAACAAGATTGCATTTATAGAGCGCCTTTCACGTCGGGAGGACGTTCCAAGGCACTGGACAGTTGGGTTGGGACCCGAGCAGGGGGGAAATGGTCAGGGTGAGGGGAGGGAAGGGAGGGAGTGAGGAAGGGGTAGAGAGTCGAGAGGGGAGCTGAAGGCCCGGTTGAAGAGAAAGGTCTTGAGACCGGCCTTGAAGGAGGAAAGGGAGGAAGCAAGGCGAAGGCACTGGGGGATGGAGTTCCAGAGTCGAAACTTTTAGCTCTCAGTCGAGTTTAACATTCCCCAAAACAGTGCCTGGGGTGCACTGCATTGTTGGAGGTGTTGTCTTTCAAATGAAACATTAAACCGAGACCCTTGTTCAGGTGGAAGTCAAAATCCCATGGCACTATTCAAAAAGAAAAGGAAGCTTCTGCCAGTGTCCTGGCCAACAAACCCCTAATAAAATGGGTCGCTCACTTCATGGCTGTTTGTGAGACACTGCTACGTGCAAATTAGCTGCTGGGGTCACCTGCAAAGGCACCATATCAAATGTAAGGATTACCATTGAAGTGCAAGTAACATACAAAAACTATCCACATTTCACAACAACCAGAATCCAGAAATTTCCTACTTTTGTAGAAGCCACATTTGTATTCCACAAAACAGTGGCTTTTAGAGGATTTGAAAGGAGTCAATTAATATTCCTCTTGGACTGAATGACCTTGGTTAAGATTCTTTGATAGAAGCCTTCACAGGCTCTGAGTTGTATTTCAAAGGAAGAGTCGATAATTAATCAATAATTCCCATTTCGAAGCAATGCTGTGTAATTAATTGTAAAGAAGCTAATGAAAACTTGGTTACGGAATATGTCAATGCACTGTATAATTGGATGTTAAAGATCCCCAGGCACTGCACGAAAAGGGAAGGGAGCTTCCTGGTGTCCTGGCCAACTACCTCTATAATAGGATATGGCTGTTTGTGGTACATTGATGTGCACAAATTGTCTGCTGCGTTTATCCACAAAATTATAGTCACAAGACTTTACAGTGCATCCTGTGAAGCACTTTGAAACATCCTTCCGACACGATTAGCACCAAGGAAATGCAAGGATCACAATCTACAAATATCTGTTGGAGGGAATAAAATTATAACCGTGAAACATCTTTATTACTTTGTTATTGCTATGTTTTACTAGTTACCATTACTAAATACTATTACTAAGATATTACTAAAATAATATTTGGGTAACCTGAATAATAATCTGTGCCATAGTAACAATATACAAATCGTATCTGTTTGAAAACAGAATCAAATCAACATTCATCAAATAAGTGAAAATAAAATGCTTCACGCTGGATGCAATTTAATATAATATTTTGTACTAGATTCAGGATAGGAAGAACAAGGTTGGTGTATCTCACAGAACGATTGCTTTAATTTTGCTGATTAACTTGACCGATTTAAATGATTAACGTTGCAATTTATGCGCCTCTATTGAGCAGAATTCCCTGTCAGTAGATAGTGCGAAAAGGTGCACAATGAGATTAATTAGTGCTGTTCTGTGTATAAAATTAATTATATATAATTAATGCGAACTTTGCTTGCAACTACTGAAAGATGCAGAATTTTTCAAAGTACCAATTCCCTAATCTGTTCTTAGCACCGCTATCTTATTGCTTCTATTCCAGCTTCCCAAGGTGAAGGGTTTTACTTTTCGGTTGCTACCATTTTGCTTTTTGGTTGTTACCATTTGCATTTGAAACAACAACATCAAGTATCAATTTTATATCCCAAGAGCTTCACACAGCTGACTGGGAGGGAGCCCGAGCTGTGGGCAAGGGGAGCTGAGGGAGGTGATGGGGGTTTAGGGGTGGTGATCAAAGCTGGAGAGGTGAGAGAGATAGGTAGAGAGACTCCAGGATGGAGTTCCAGAGAGTGGGAGCAAAGTGGCTCAAAGATCACCCACTGATGATCAGGCGGGAGACATGAAGCCGGCTGGTGTTCACTGAGCAGAGGGAGCAGCTGTGTGGTAGTGTTGCAGGAGGTCACAGAGTTGGCTTATTGAGGCCACGGGAGGATTTTAATGCGAGGAAGAGGGTCTCAAATTCGATCCGCTGGGGGATGGGGGGCCGTGGAGCCGAGCGAGGACACGATGCAAATTTGCAATCGTACGACACCTTTCACATCGGGAGGGCATCCAAAGATGTTTAACTGTCCAGGTGGGGGAAGGGGTGGGTGATAGGCTTGCAGAGCCTGGTGCGGGAGACAACACGAGCTGCAGAGTTCTAGATGGACTGCAGCCGATGTAAAGAGCAGTCAGCTAGCAGGGCGTTCCGATAGATGAGCCTGGATCATTAGATGTGTGCGCATCAATTTATATTTTGGCTTTATATTAAGGATACCATGCGTATCATTCAATTTTTTTTAAGTGGAAACAAGATGTAATGCAAGATGATGTGGTAATAAGCGCATGAATGTCTTTTGGCATTTGTATTAGTTCTCGTTTTATTCGAGTGTTTTTCTCTTTCCCGGATTTTGTTTAGGCTCATCTCGTGGCAGCCTTTGAGCAGAGTTTGACCAATATGACCTCTCGTCTGCAGAACCTTGCTGTGACGGCAGAGCAAAAGGTCAGTGAAAACTGTAGGGTGCCTAATCGTACACCTGTTAGCGATGCCTTATTGTATGCATCATGTACACGTGTCCTCCATTGGGGAAACATAAGGTTGGTGACAAGTTGCAAGGTGAGGTTAACAACAACAACAACAATAACAAATTACACGTGTATAGCATCCTTCACATCGGACAGATGTCCTGGCATCAATTGCTAATACCAGATTCATGCTATTTTTGAACTCTCCCACCTCCCTCCCCCCTCCACTGATCCCATATAAATTATGTTTGTCGTGTGCAATCACAGTCGTGTCGTGTGCAATCTCCAGTGATTTGTGCTGGAGCTTGCCCCTGTCCAAACCATCTCTGGTTGGTGCTTTTTCCAGCAAATCCATTTATAGTGTAAATGTAGGCAATGTAAAACAATTTACCTCCTTCTAAATGTTTGGTTCCTTAAAACGCTTGGGCAGTTCCTTTTGGGACTTTGAAGGGACGGCTTGTAACGTTGGTTGCTGAGTTGTGCAGCTGGCTCTTCAAAAACATGAAATAATTCTTGTGTTTATCAGAGTTTTACCCTTGGACATTGATGTGGTGCCCAGAGCTTGCTCAGCCACTGGCACTAGCAGCTCTGAGAGCTTCAGTATCAATTAGGTGTCCCGGGCCGAAACGCTTCACATAAGCAGAAGTAGCCTTGTGTGGGAACTTCATTTAAAGGGGACGAAAACATTCAGTGGAAAATTGCCATCTGTGCTATTGAATATGTCGGCAGATGGCAAACAGCAGGGAGTTCCTCTATAACAGGATAAATGATGTGGCAAAAAAAAAATTCTGTTTGAATGTTGTGTGACCGAATTCAAGATCCTTGTCTTCGCTTTCATTTTTCACCCCACCTTTGCCACCTCCCACAACCCTACACCCAGAATATAGAAATCGATGGGACTAAGGAGGAGACCTTCAGCTGAACCTGAATGTACAACAATGATTTGTATTCATACAGTACTCTTCAAACAGGACAGTGTCCCACTGCATAATGGCAGGTTGGACACGAGTGAGAGAAACAGGCTGGTTCATGGTTGAATATAGGATCAGGTTTTTAAATAAATAGTTACGCAGCTGTTTGCTAACAGAAAAGGCAAAAAGACGGTAATTCTTCCCCTCTACCTAAATGGCAAGGGCAAAATGGCTATTAAAGTGGTAAAGGAATTGACTTGATCTCACGTTACGATAAATATATTGTATCTTTAAAAATGTCACTGAGAACAGAGGGCAACCATTTGTTCTCTTCATTGCTGACAGGAAGAGTGGCCTTATCCTGCCCTCTGGCGAATTATTGTTTCTCTTATTAATATGCAAATAACAAGATAATTGCCCGTCTTTGATCCCTGCTACACTTCAGACTCCTGATTGGGGCTCATCCTAATCACTGTGTCATTGACAAAACTGATAACATACAGGGCTCCATGGAACATCCCTCCTAATTATGATCATTCTGGAAATGGGTACAATTAACACTGCAATGCTTGATGTCTTATTCACGCCATTATTTTTCTGTGAGAAAACACAACGACAGCACCCCTGATGCTCAGAGTATAAATAGACGTCCAATGTGATATAGTACCAAGACGTAAATAGGTCTGTAATAACAATGCATCATTTTAATTTCAAATATCAAATGCAAGGATTATCATTATTTTAATGAACAATCAGTTGACCTACATTTTTTATACTGTTGCATTCTGCGTAGGAAAATAGAAACCAGAGTAGGCCGTTCCACCGCTCGCGCCTTTCCCGACATTCTATTAGGTCATGGCTAATCTGTACCTCAACTCATTTACCCACCTTTGCTCCACAACCCTTGATAATCCAACCTAACAAAAATCTATCCACCTCAGTCTTGAAAATTTGCAGATTGGGTTCTACTCTGCATTTCAAAGTTGGTACATGTCAGATAAAATCGGTCATTGATTTTGTGGCTCTTTGCAGGACATTGCTGCGCGCAAATTGGTTGTCGAGTTGACGTACAAAAATACACAGTCCCTGCACTTCACAATAAATCCCTTGAAGCGCTTTGGGACGTCCTTCCGACGTGAAAGGCTCTATATCAAATTAATGGAGTATTAGTATCATTCAATATGTTAAGAATTTTGCTAAAAATGATGTCTCTTCTCGATATTTAATGCTCCTCTTTGTATTTGCCTGAACAGGATACAGAGTTAGTTGAACTGAAAGACACAATCGACATGTTGCACAAAAAGAATGCAGAGGCTCAGGCTGTCATACAGGGAGCACTGAATACCCAAGACCTAACACCGAAAGGTAAATCCATGCTTGTGCCACAACTCCGGACAGATGGTGGTTCTCTAACCCCTTGCCCTCAATCTGCACAATGTTTTCAACTCTCTCGTTACTCTTGTCATACCCACTGTCTTTATGAATGGACTTGTACACTCCTACATATAGACTGGGGTTGAATTTCTTAGAGCAGGGGAAGCAAAGGGCTGATGTGACTGACATGTATAAAATAATGAAAGGGTTAGATCGCGCAGGACTCTTTGAAGAGGGATTGCTTGACATTTTCATCCCCCCCCCACCCCCCCCCCCCCCCACAGACACACACACATACAAATACAGAAATTCCCCAGTGTCTAATGTGCTCTAGGTTTCATGTTAACCGATTGAATTACCCAGTAAGTAATTTACAGCATTATGTATTGGCAGTGTACACTCTCTCAACTGAGCCATTCCTCTGAACACTAATCCACAGGGGATGTGCAGTTAAACCTGGATTGCTTTGACCAAGTAAATCCAATAATGTTTGACAAATCTATAATCACTAACCTTTTCTTGACTACTCTCTCCCCTCCTCTTCCTCCACCCGAGTTTATGTCGAAAGCAAGTTTGGACTGAAAAATACTGTATAAGGGTAAAGCTTTGATTCATCCAAAGTCCTTGAAAATGTGTTGAGTGATTGTGGGATGGAGTTCCAAAGAGTGGGGGAAGATAGACTGAAAGCCCAGCTGCCGATGGTTGGGTGGGTCGGGCAGGAGACCTGGAGCAGGTTGATAGGGGGTCAGCAAGTCAGAGATGTAGGAGGGGGCAAGGCCATGGAGTGCCTTGAAAGTGAGGTTGAGGATTTTGAATTCTATCCTCTGATGGATGGGGAGCCAGTAGAGCCGGGCGAGGGTGGGGGTGATGGGGTCACGGAGTTTGGTACAGGAGAGGACACCAGCTGCGGAGTTCTGGATGATCTGCAGCTTGTGGAGGGAAGAGTTGGGGAGGCCGACAAAAAGGGAGTATCCGTAGTCGAGCCTTGAGGTGACAAATGTGTGTATGAGGGTTTCGGCGGCCTGAGGGGTGAGGCAGTGGCGGAGTCGGGCAATGTTGCGGAGGTGGGGGAAGGCAGAGCGGGTCATGGCACGGATATTATGGGGGAGAAACTACAGTTGAGGGTCGAACAAGACGCCCAGGCTCCTAACTGGCTGAGGAGGAGTGTGCAACCGTGGATGCTGATGTTGCCAGTGCCTGAGGTGCCGAGGCTCTGAGCTAATCAGGAGGGCCTCAGTCTTACTGACATACAGCTGTAGAACGTTGGCTCCCATCCAGGATTTGATGTCAGACAGACAGTCAAGACAGTCTATGCAGGCAATGAAAGGGAACAACTTTCCCAGCAGATAACTTGTCTTAAATTGGATTTAAGACAACTTGCCAGCGTTGAACTTGAATGGGATCCACTGTGTTATCTTGCAGTTTAATGCTATCAGTAACAAAAGCAAATGCTGCGTGATGCATTTGTTCCATTGCTTTATTTCACAGAATTGCGTATAAAGAGACAGAATTCATCAGACAGTATATCCAGCCTCAACAGCATAACCAGCCATTCTAGCATTGGAAGTGGGAAAGATGCTGATGCCAAAAAGAAGAAAAAGAAAAGCTGGGTAGGTGCTATGAATTGTGTGACATTTATTTGATCTAAATGTTCAGTGAATTTAAATCTGATTTAATTGACAATTGTCTGTTCACACTTGTAATTTTACATTGAATAAATCCGTACCACATAGCATGTTAATGAACAGTGCACACACAGCATTGGCCCTTTTCAAAATAACTTCCAAATGTCTATTGTTAAACTCTCTGCGATGTGTTCTTTTTTTCTTGGTAACAATTTCTTCCTCACGTGATGTGTGGCTATATCATGTATGAATATGATGCAGTCTGTTCACCCACAAAAATACACAGCACACTATTTTACAGTACACAGCATTCTGTGACGTCTCAACGACATGATAAGCCGCTATATCGAAGGCAAGGATTATTATTATTTAAATTTAAATGAAGCCTTTCATTTCAGGTGGACGTCCAAAGTGCTGGTGACACTGCTGGCTGGGCACCCAAGGGAGACTGGGGGTGGGAGCTTAGAGGGGTGGGGGTGGGGGAAGATGATCGAAAGCACGGTCAAAGAGGTACGTTTTGAGATGGACTTTGAATGAGGGGAGCGAACGAGTGGGAGGGATCCATCATGCAGTTAGGCAGAATGTTTCATAAAATAATAATAATACTTGCATTTGATATAGCACTTTTCACGTCTTCTAGACATCACAAAGCGCTTCACAGAATATACTGTAAGGTGAATTGACTGTATATTTGTGGGCGAATGCATTTTTGGAGTATTTTTTATGCAACAATTGTGACTTTTCTGGCACAGTTATTACTTTACGTTTGCTTTTCTCTGTCAATATCAATTTTAATATGTTTAGCCAGAAAATGTGTGGCACATAAACCTTGGGGTTCCAGGGCTTGCTTCCTAGCAAGACTTGCAGGCTAAAGTCTTGGGTTACTGATAATGTGATAATGCTTCTGTCCTTTGAGTTTAAGGACGTACTACTCCTTGGTTAGGCAAACAAATGTAACACTGAATTAAAGCAAGGGATTCCTCCTCCTTGTTTCTTGGACAAGTGAGAGGCAGAACTCTTTTGGTCATCTTGCCCTGTTTAAATTGAATCTCCCTGCAACAACAACAACAACAACAAGATTACATTTGTATAGCGCCTTTCACGCTGGGAGGAAGTCCCAAGGCGCTGGACAGTGTACAGCATTTCAGACCCGAGCTGGGGTCAGGGGAGGAGAAGGGAGAGGAGGGGAAGTGGGGGTGACCAATGGCATGGTCGAAGCAGAATAGTATCGGGGGTCAATCATTGTCGAATCCCAGAATCGTCTTTGCAGGTAAAGGAGGGCGCGGCCTTATCCAGTGCAATAGAGAAAAGGCAAACCGTAAAACAAAACCGCACACCAATAAACTTTCATTTTCATTACATTGAGATGCTTCTAAGTTAAAATCTATTGTGTATTAGAGAACTCAGAGTTCCAAGCAAATCAGATCAGTCATTTTCAACTCTGAAGTGCCTTGAAGATGCATTCCTCATTAAAGCACAAGGGACTCCTATGTGATGTTATTTAGTCAAACCTTAGCCTGCTACAGAATACTCTGTACTCCCTGCACCAGCCTTGTTTCAGGATCAATTGATATGAGGACGTAAAACTTGTCTTCTGAGATGTCGGGGGTGGCTTTAGTGTTGTAGAATTAATGCATGTAGACTTGCAATTGATGTATACTTAGAAAGTGCTCAATAAAAACAGGGGCCCTTTTTCTTGGTTACAGAATCCCAGATGTTAAACATCTAAAAAATGACAGTCAATTAACATTTAACACTAAATTGTTAATTAAAGGTGTCGAGACTTCCTCTTTGACTGTTCCTTCAGCCACACTCGCACCCTAACCATACTTACCGCCAACCCCTCTTGATCCCAACCTCCAGCTCGGGTGCAAACCCTTAACTGTCCAGCACCTTGGGACGTCCTTCCGACTTGAAAGGCGCTGTATGAATGTAACTTGTTGTCCTCGTCAGTACCATCCTGCCTTTCTTAAAAAAAATTGTATGAGGATGAATTGCTGGGGCTTAGAATTATTGGAGCTTGGATTTGTTTGGCTCGAAACTGCGATGGAGGTAAATTCACCACAGATGGTGATGTTAGCATTCGTTTTTCAGCATTTAAAGCAAACCTACCATTTCATGTGATTTCGACGGATTCTAGTGATTTCCTGTCTGAGGGATTTTTGTAATGGAGATTGAAGTCCACAAACCATGTGATTTGAAACCTTACCCGCGCTCTTGGTTTCCACTGCACTCCACACCATGGCTTCCAATCATACCATACGAGGGAAGCTTTTGGAATGGGATAAAATGCTGTTGCAGTGTTTACAATTTGCTACAATCCTTTTTTAACTAAAACAAAGCCTTCTGAAACTTACCTGTTTGAATTGAAATACTTGGAGAAATCTACAGGGCGCTGTAACTTTTAAAAATCGAGTTGTGATTGATATTGATCAGGAAATGCGATTCGGTGCATCCTTAGGGAAGAGTAAGATACTGCTGCATAGTTCAAGTCGCATCGGACCCACATTTCCATTTTGTAGTCCAAAAAGCACAAAGACTGGAAAAAATACAAAATGCATGGAACGGTAACTAGTATTGCTTTGTTTTTCCTCCCATGCTGACATAACCTTTTTTTCAGGTTTTCGAGGTAAGTGCCTGTCTGTTAATCATCCAAAGAAATCACATACTACATCCAGTGTGGATAAGTGCCTCATCCCCACATCCAAATCCATCCGACCCATTGAAATTCAATCCTTAAAGCACTCTTACTTTCACAGTTCTGCAGTCACATACCTCTTCAAGTTTTGATAACCCCTCAAAGGTTTGCGTTTTAACAGCTTCATTATTGTCTTTGTTTATTTGTTGAAAATAAACACTGCTGCCAGATTATTGAAATTTGGACGCGTTTCCCTCACATCTGTCTGCAATGCTCCTGCCTTTTGTAATCAATGTTTTACTGTGACGGTAACTGTTAATAAGTGCTTTAAGGGAAACGTATGAGCAAAACACATTCATCGGTATTGTCGCCAGCAGAGTGCTTTGGATATTTCAGTGACTACTTATTTACTGCACTCTCTTGGATATTTAAAATGATCTCATGAATAGGGCTGTCATGAATATTTGATTCTGGAACACATATTTTCAGAGGAAGCACTCAGAATTGAAACCTGGATTCATCGGAGGCTCTTAATGCGGTAATTTTAATGCAAGCCTCGTTCGCAGCAAAACGTACATTTCTGACAGTGATAAAGATTGACAGCATAGAATAGAGCCTGGAAGCAGGCACTCAGTACTTTGACTACTGAACGGAAAAGACCACATGTTTATCCTGTTACAGTGCATTTTCGTGTGCGTAAGTCTCAGTTCCTGATGTGAATCTTTTTATTCACTCGACACATTTTATTTGAAGGTGAAAGAATCTTTCAAAAGCCACGTTTCTGCCACTTTGCGCACCCAAAAGCACATAATTAAATGGCCCAATATTTGGATTTGGCTGATTCTGTTCTCTGCCGTTCTGAAATGAATGCCACCCACTGCTTTACTGAGTTTTATCACTGAAAGAATGCCTCGTAGTGGGTAATACTGAGACTGTTTTGCACACCCTGTCCATAGAGGAGGGAGTTTCTTTCTCCCAGTGATCTGGCCAATAATCCCATGGATAAAATAAAGTTATTCACATCATGGCTGTTTGTGGAAAAATTTCTATGCACAAATGGCCTGGAAAATACAATTGCTGCAATTTACAGTAAATCCAGTGAAGCATATTTCAACACCTGATAAAGTGCTGTAATCAATTGCAAGGATTATATTAATTATTATTTTTAATAATAACAACATTAATAACAATAGCCTACATATTTATATGTCACTCAGTGGCACAGTGGAGTCCTGTAGCTCAGTGGTTAGAGCACTTGCCTTGCAAGCGAGACACCCGGGTTCAATTCCAGGCAGAGCGAAACCTTGGGCAAGTTTCCTCATTCCACACGCCTGATAATAATCCCTCCAAAATAAAATAATAATAAATTGGTCATTTTCAATCCACGACTGTTTGTGGGACACTGCTGTGCGCAATTGGCTGCCGCGTTTTGCCCACAAATATACAGTCAATTCACTTTACAGTCTATTCTGTGAAGCGCTTTGAGACATCGAGAAGACGTGAAAAGCACTATATCAAATGCAAGGATTATTATTATATAGTACAGATTGCACTGTTACTTTGGGGAAATCTGTCCGTTCTTTTCAAAAGACGGTTCGGTTTTAAGACCGGCTAACAAAACACCATTCCAATGATGTTTATTCCCCATTTTTGTACTTTTGCACTGATTCAGAGAAATCGGCAGTAAATTAATAAATGGTTGAGTCATGACAGTCCTAAAATCATCACATGTAACCCCCAGTTTGTATCCCTTTGTGAAGTTGCATAATTACAGTGTTTTGATGGTTTTACATATGACACCAAGATGAATGCTAGTGGTGGGCTTTGATTTAACCTCTGGAGCACCGCATTCTTAAATTGAATGGAAGTTTCCTCATTTCAGTCTGTTTAGTCTGATCTTCTATGTATCCATCACTTATAACGATTATCCCAAGTTATGAAACCCTATTGGTATAACATCCTCCTAGTGAAAGATCTTGGATCAGGAAAGTGATGAAAAAGGCAAAGATAACGCCACCTTTAATGGTGGTGTGGATAGATATACAGCTTCCAGACCAGGAGCTCGCTGGTTCGAATCCAGTTTGCTGGTTTCAAGCTGGGATGCATTAGGAGGGTTAGGGAGCGGAAAAACAGCCAGGGTTACTGCTCCTGGTCCCTCTAGCGGTTGTACTCCTGAGTGGGAGTCGGGTGGGGAGAGGTCAAGCTCAGCTGTGACACTCGCGACAGTCCAGGAGCCTGCCGAGGCTCATACATGAACCATGGCGACTTGGAGGCAAGGACAACTGTGACTGTGGAACCTCATACTAGCAAGAGCAAGGCCAGGCCAGGAGCAAAGGGGCCATATGCCAAATTTGGAAGGAAGCGGGGCGGGGGAGGAAGGAATTGGTAAAATAATTGGACACACTTTACCTATTTTAAAACTTTTTTGGGGGAAGGAAAAGTATTGCGGGTCATAGCTTTAATCTATATCGGGTTTCTTTTCCCCCCCGCAGAAGTGTATTTTATTGTTTTGAGAGCTTTAAAAAAACTTTCGTTTCAAACTTTCAGAATTTTTCTTTTCTTTCATCAATACAGAATGCGCCTGTGCCAAACATTAAGCTATGCCAGCTGTCATCTTTGCATGTTTTACTGAAAGTGTTATATACCATGCTGTGAATCTCTACTGTCTTTCAGCTGAGGAGCTCATTTAAGCAAGCCTTTACCCTCAAAAAGACTCCAAAATCAGCGTCCTCTTATTCCGACATTGAGGAGATAGCAACACCTGACTCTTCCGTTCCCTCGTCGCCGAAAATGCAGCGTGAAGATCCTGAGTCACCATCTCCCTCCATGAAGCCTTCACTCTCATCATCTGGGTAAATAGATTGCAATATTTACTGATGCTTCACCTCCCTGATTACCTCTCTAAATATGAATGACGGGGGGGTCTATATTGTTACAGGTGCCTTCCTTCAGACGAGATGTCAAACCGAGGTCCTGTTTGCATGTTCAGGTGGACATTAAAGAGCCCTTGGCACTATTTTAATAAGAGGAGAGAGTTTCTCCCGGTGTCCTGGCCAACAATCCCCCTAAATACAACTGGTTATTCATTTCACTTTGTGGGTGTTTGTGGGATATTGCTGTGCATGAATTGTCTACCATGTTCGCCTGGCAATACAGTTTGTAGTGTCATGTCCACCTGAACAGGCGGACAGGAACTCGCTTTAATATCCCATCCGCAGGATGCATTCCCAGCACTGCACTGGAGTGGTTTGACTGTATTTTCTCTCTCTGAGGCCAGGGAATGCACTGGAGTGTCAGGCTGGACTCTATGGCTTCAAAATCCAGACGACACGGGGCCTGAACCCACAATCTTCTGACACTCGCTGGGAATTAGGTCCCTGTACTTAATTATTTTCAGACTGGGAGTTTTTTTTAGTGTAAGATTTTACACTAAAAAAAATTTAATTTAGTTACTGAGAAACTCAAGTGTTTTTCTTCTGAAGCAGTGTCTACAACTGCAATGATCCGGAGAAGGACGTGTCCAATTTGCGGAGCGAGTTGTGGGAGAAGGAAAGGAAATTAACCGATATCCGTCTGGAAGCTCTGAATTCCGCTCACCAGCTGGAGCATTTACGAGAAGCGATGCACAACATGCAGGTATGCTGAAAACGGTTCTCTTCAAAGGGATTGTTTGTTTTTCTGGAATCTGAATTCGTTTCACTCCAGTTTTGTCACCAGGAGCAATCCATTTATGCTGGTCCGGTCCCAAGTTTTGTGAGGATTTCAGAGAACGTCCTTCAACCATCATTCAGTGCAGATATTTGCTGTGGCTTTGCCCTGACAGCTGATTACAACAATACGATACAATTTACATAAGAATGCTGATGATGATGATCCTCGCATTTGATATAGCACCTTATCACGTCGTGGAGGCATCTGAAAGTGCTTCACATGGTACACTGTGAAGTGGTTTGACTGTATTTTCTCTCTCTGAGGCCAGGGCATGTGTGGCAGAAACCACATGCCTCCTAGTGGCCAGCCACATAGCGGCACAAAGGGTTGAATGGAAATCATTTCATCTGGTCCATTTGCAGTCAGAAGAATGGAGCAGAAGATAATTTATGTGTGTGTGTGTGTGTGTGTGTCGGGGCAGAGGGGGGTGAGTGGCTGATTTGACAGAGCGCAGTGAAGGCTACCCTCTGTGTAAAGCATTGCTTCCTAGTGTTTATCCTAAAACCAACCAACTGCCTTTCACGGCGCAGAACCCTTTTGTCTGGGGATATTAAGAACATATACAACTCGTCTAACTTAAAATAACTAGTTAGATATGGTTGTGTGTGTGTACTGTGGGACTGCAGAATTGATAGTTATTGAAGCTGACTGCCTTGTACACACACAATCATTGATTTTGGCTTAGTTTTGTTTCTTCACTCAATGGTCCTCGTATCATCTTTAGATGGTTTTTCGTGCTGGCTTTTCAAATCCATTTATTCTTATCAGCTGTCACAGTTCCTGCTGAATAGCTCCAGATTTAATTAAGCACTATTAATTTTAATGGTCTTTTCCCTCCTTCAATTCATCTGTGATGGATACTCATTGGTACTAGAATGATGAATTTGAATCTGAGTTATTCATTGATCCCCAGGCCTGTAACACTCTGTGAAGTGTTAACTGCAGGCAATGTGTTACAATGCAAAATGGGAGGCTGAAAAGTAAATAGGGACTCTATATTATCGAGCTGTGTAGTGGACCAGCTATGTAGTGAGTGTTTGTGTGTATGTGTGAGTACGTTCAATTTAAATAAAATTTTGCCAATCTCATTGTACAGCCAAAATACTGCTTGCCGTCGTACCCTTTGAAGGTAGCTGAAGCTAAATCAGAAATATTCTGACACAGATAAATTGCATATTGTACAAGAACGTGCCAAGCGGAAGCCATCACTCCTGTGATGTTCAGTCGTGGGATGTTCCTACAACAACAACAACAACAACAAAATTGCATTTGTGTAGCGCTTTTCACGTCGGGAGGACGTCCCACGACACAGGACAGTCAAGAGTTTTGGATCCGAGCTGGGGGTCGGGATTGGGGAGGGTGGAGGGCAGGGGACGAAGCAGGGTGATCGAAAGCACGCTCGAAGAGGAGGGTCTTGAGATGGGTCTTAAAGGAGGCAAAGAATGTGATCATTGGGGTGGGGGGTGGGGTGGGGGTGGAATCATGCTATTGGAGTGGTTTCAGGGCCATTATGATATTTACTACACCAAGTGTTCAGAGCCGCTTCACTATTTTTACTTGCTTTAAGAAGCGCATTTCCTTTCAACCTAAACTATCTGACTCCACCTGTCCACCCTTGTTTTTTTTTATATAAGTATGGGAACCGCCTCAAGACATTTCAAATTGATTGCTTGATTGCATATCCTCCCCGGGGGGAAGGAAAGTGAGGTCTCCTTTGAGCTGGACTGGTTTCAAAGTGACATGCCTGCCAATGGAATGTCAGAATCGATTTGGCGGTCTCAGTCGTCCAGTTCCTGAGCCAGGCAGGTCTGCAGTATTCCAGGGCACTGCTGATGACAGCACAGCCAGCCTGGTTGACTGGGAATCAAACCCAGGTCCTCTCGCTTGTGAGGCGAGCACTCTAATCAATACACTACAGGACTCCATCTTGATGTAAATTACATCGTAACTTTCAAGCTAAGCTTCTGCAACTCTTAGCACTGCATTTACATGTATCATTCCTTTCTTTCCTGACAGAAATACTGCTGAAAATAAGCATCTGAAAACGTAATAGTAATAATAAACATGAATGTATTATGAATGTAGTATTTATTAACTAGTATCTGGTGATGCTGCATTGCACACTGTCAGATGATGTGCAGATGTTACACATGCTCACAAAAACCTGTGGTGATCACCAGGTTCAAGTTCTGCAATACTATGAATAGAAATGTCATTGAATATTGAACCTATAAAAGGTTTCTCAAGGTAAGTTCTTCCAATGATAATAGGATATAGTATAATAGTGTCCCTACTCATAGAGTCTAGGCTGACACTCTAATGCAGTGCTGAGGTGGCTGCATTGTCAGAGGTGACGTCGTTCTGATGAGATGTCAAACCCATCTACCTGTTCAGGTGGATGTCAAAGGTCCTATGACATTATTCAAAAAGAGAAAGGAGTTTCTCCTGGTCTCCTGGCTATTCGGCTGCCGCCTTTGCTGATTAAAAAAAAATACACACAGTCACTATGCTTTACAGTAAATCCCGTTAAATGCTTGTGAAAGGCATTATATCAAATTAAATGAGTATTGTATGATTAGTCATATGTTTTATTGAAACCAGTTTTACAAATCCAATGGTAATTTAATCAGACCTGCTATTCTCAATGTGGTTTTCAAGGTGTGTGATAGGCTGCCTCTTGCTCTGGCCTCTGAACATCTTCTCTTTATCAAAGCAACACATGTCCCACTCTCCTCTCAAATCGTTATGTTTTTTTAATTGTATTGACTTTCTTTCATCCCCAGTTTAATATTTAAACATTATTTGCTCAGCAGACACCCACCGCTTTTAAGACGGGAGAGTAGATGAGATAATATTCTCACTGCCTTTCCAACTGGGAGGTATCACAGTGCAGCCCATTTCCACAAAATACACAGTCAATCCACTTCGCAATATATCCTGTGAAGCACTTTGAGATGTCTCAATGACGTGATAAGGAGCTACATCAAATGCAGGGATTATTATTATTATTAGCTTCCTCTTGATGGCTTTATCCTCTCTATTGAAACATTCACTACCCAGTGCTTCTTCTCAGAGAACTGGATAAAATCAAGAACATGCTGTGGAAGGAATTATGAGCCCAAAGCTACGTCCCATTGCTCTGTTGTGTAGAATACTTCCACACTTTGCTCTGTGTTATTTCAATGATCATAAAATAATAATCCTAGCATTTGATGTAGGGCCCTATCACATCGTTCACACATCTCAAAGCACCTCACAGGATATACTGTAAAGTGGATTGACTGTGTATTTTGTGGGCGAATTCATGAGTAAGATTGGAGAGCACAAAGAACCACAGGATATGTTTTGTATCAATATTAAATCAGTGGAACGAAGCTGAAATACCGTAATCTGGTTATGCTATTGATTCTAATGCAGAAATGCAAATGAAAATCTCAAATAGTTACAGCGATTTGGATTCTGACTGACGTTATAAAGAGTGCACTTTTAAGAGTGGCAGCTGTGCAATGCAGCTGGTGCTATATTGATTGCAGTGTATCTCTTTTATATTCTATTTATGCCATTTCTCCCTTTCTTTTTACCCTTCAGAAGAATTATTTCTAACATTCAGTTCAGGCATAATAATTAGTTTCAAATCTGACCTTTAAATTACTAATAGGACACCAACAATTGAGAAGACTATTGCAGTTTAAGTCTGAAGTTTGTATACCTTACACCAAGAACTCCAAATCGAATAGAACAAATAAGTGACTTAAGAGTTTTTTTCTTGAGGTTCCTGGTCAAGAAATCCCCCCCACAAAAATATATTGGGTCGCTCAGTTCGTGCGGTACAGGGTTAGCAAACACCTCACAAGTGAGAGGAATCGGGTTCAATTTCCGGGTGGGACAAAACCTTAGGCAAGTTTTCTTACTCCACTTTGTAATACATTCTGTGAAGCTCTTGAGACGTCTTAGCGATGTAATAAGGCAAATGCAAGGATTATTATTATTGTCTGCTTGTGACTGTACACAAATGGGCTGCTGCATTTGCCCACAAAACACACTGTCACTCCACAGTGAAATCGTGTGAAGTGGTTTGAGGCATCCTCCCAGCGTGAACAGCACTAAGCCAAACGCAAGGATTATTGATCAAGAGTTTTTTGGGGGTTTGTAAAATATTCTTGCGATGTGAAATTCTACGCGAAGGTTTTCTTTCTTTAATTCCTAATCAACACATCTTCTGAGTTGGGTGGGGGAAGAAAGGAAAACTTTTGTACAACTTGAGACAGGCAAAAAAAAAAAAGCTGTGTTGTATTGCCAGCAAAGACTAATATCTCAATCCTGGAATAGGAACCGCAGCTCTTTTGATGACGAGTTGTTAGATGAGTTTTTCCTCGACTGTGTTGAGCCTTTAACTTGCTGCCTGTAATTCAGATACTCATTCGTAAAATACTGTTGCCGTTAAAGGTGGAAATTGAAGCCCTAAAACTGGAAAATGACCGTCTCAAATCAGAGACAGATAATGGAACTGGGTCGGTTCTGAGCACATCTTCAGCCACATCCTCACCTCGGCGATCATTAGGACTTTCCCTGGCTCATTCGTTCAGCCTTAGCCTTACAGACTCCGTTGACACAGGTAATGTTGCATCGACCTTCTAATAGCAGGCTTGTCGTAATAAGCTGCTTGTTAGCTGCAGTTCTGCCTGTGTTGGGTTTATGGTCTAAGTTCTCAGCCTTCTCGAAGATGAGACGTCAAGTGAAACTGTGGAGGGGAGGAACTCTCATCTTGCTGGGTTCCTGCTTCCTGTTGGTTGGACGTGGCTTGTTTTTAATGCTGGACATAAAGATGTTTGCAATCACTGTAGCTCAACTTCAACTGTAGACGAATGTATCATAGCAAATGGCTTGTAAAGAGGCAAAGAGAGTAAAAACGAGAGGAATCGGAGTCAAAGAATAGATGAAATAAATGAATAAATATTGTGTTAAAATAATGAATTTTGAGATCAAGGCTAACCCTTGTAATGACCAAATCTCTTCATGGATCATCTCTTTAAACCTGCCAGCTTCAGAAATATATTGTTTAACGTTACGTGTAGGAACATTTTGTTGGTCAGCCGCCTGTCTGGCACATACGGAAACCCATCACTATGCTTAAGAGGCTGAGATGTGGAAATTCCACATAGATGTGGAAATTCCCATACTTGAGATGGAATGTGCACTTCTCTCTCTCCCCACCCCACCCCCCCAACGTAGGGATGCATCCTAATTACCTAATCCCAGAGAGTATTGGGCATAGGTTGGCAAGAGCAAAGGCTTACAGACCCCAGAGTGAGCGTTGGGGTAACTACTGGAGTTTAACAAGCTGCAACCACATAGCTTGCTTGCCATTGAGAGCACTGTATGAACAGTAATATATATAATATTAATCATTTATATTATTCATAGAAATAATCCACAGAAAATAATACAGTCACGGAAACTTGTCAGATTGTATTTGGTTTGTCTTTTTATTTTTTTTCCCTGCAACACAACTCAAATATGGAGTCAATAATTGTTGTGTATTTTTATCGTACATGCTTAAGAGCACAAAGAGAGTTTGATCAATCAGTGTCTGCAGTCTGTACATAAGTAAGGTAATGTTGAACCACATCAGCTTGCTTTGATTTTGCTCGTGGAAATGAGCGGTATTATTACCAGGAAATATCATGGAAATTTCATCTGATTGGATTGAAATCCTTTAGAAGGGCCGTTGTCTCGTGCAATACTGTAAGGCTCTGTCGAATCTTATAAGCCTCTCCACACGATTGTTCCTTTGTTTATTACGCTACAGACTGAAGTTGATTCTGTTTTTTTTTGTCAGCAGACTGTTCGCGCGTGGTGCAAATGTCATCAGCGCAGTCAAAAATAAAGCTAGCGTTCTGCCGTGTTGCAGAAGTTTGCACTTTGACAAGGTTAACGTTGTGTTTAGTTTTGTCACAGTGACTTGTGGCACCGGTGCACAATACAACTTACATAGCGCCTTCCAGGGCAGGAGGACGTCTCAAAAAACTTGACGCATCTGGCTGGGAACCCGAGATGTAATGTCATTCTAGTTTTGTGGTGGATCTCTGCTCTGTGAATGATGACGTCTGGCCTTATTAATTGTGACCGCCTTAGTGATGATGCATCTCTTGGTTTTGTGATGCAGAATTGACCCAAATGGACGGGGTGACCGGCTTCTCCCAGAAAGAAGAAAGAAATGTCAGAATTGTTGTCCTTCTGACCGAAGAGCAGATTTGTAATGAGGTAAGATGCATATCCATATCGGTATGACTTAACCTCAATAACTCTGAGAGAGCACATTCACCAAGTACTGGGTTTTAAGTTATTTAACCGTGTTAGAGAACTTCTGATGCCTCCTTGATATATTATTCTACTTGGGTGAACTATATTAGTGCACGCAAGCCAAAGTTGTCATAAAGTTGGCAACAAGTTATTTCCCCATCACGAATTTCACTGATCCTTCAGCAGATAAATAAATGTTAAATAAGGAAACGTTACAAGCGGCAACTGACCTTAAAACTTATCTCTACTTGAAGTTGAAGACTGTGTTGATTTCGGGTTGAAAGCAGGGAGGGGAGAGACTGCTGTGGGTGGGGGGGGGAAGTGCCACAGAATTCGATTAGCATTTAACAGCTGAACAATCGCCAACACTGTCCTCCTGATAAGTAGCACTGCTGCTTAAAGGTCTCATGTTTACTTCCCTTATTTCAATATTCTGAAATATTGTGTGTGTTCCCAGCTCCACCACACACAAAATTCAATTAATTCAAAACTCTGCCGCCCGGATACTCAGCTGCACAAAACTCCGTACCCCCATCGCACCAGTCCTTGCCAGGCTCCACTGGCTCCCAATTACCGAACAGATCGATTTCAAGATCTTCTCACTCGTTTTCAAATCCCTTCATTCCCTCGCACATCCCTACCTATCCAATCTGCTTATCCTCCCACTCCACCACTCGCTGCCTTCGCTCGGCTGGCTCCAGCCTCCTGTTTGTCCCTCATCCCCTCTGCTCCACTATCGGTGGCCGTGCATTCAGCCACTACGCCCTGAAACGCTGGAACTCTCTCCCTCAATCCCTCCGCTTTGCCCCCTCCCTCCCCACTTTCAAATACTGCCTAAAGACTTGCTTTTTGATTGTGCTTACGGTCACCTCCCACCCCTCTCTCTGCCTGGCTCGGAGTCAGTCTCCCATCACTGTCAAGGGCTCCAGGACGCCACCCTGTGTGAAAGGTGATATATAGATGCACAATGTTGTTCAATAGCCAGTCACAGGGGGCTGGCTTGTTAAATTCATCAACATGCCTGCATGATCAGGGGTCAGAACGTAGCAATCAGAATTGGTACCCTGACCTATTTATCCTTCTTACCTCTTACTCACCACCCCCACACACTTACTGTAGGTGCCTGATGTGGCTCCAGCTAATTTACTGCAGAACAAGATTGAAATTAGTGACACTATGGCATAATCACGGGCCTATAACCTCCAATGCAGTGTTGGGAGAGTTAATCTGCTCTTTGGTAACTTTATCTATGGTCTGTTCGAGGTTCCTAAGCGCTTTTAAACCTGGCCTTAGCTGTGCCCATCCTGCCATTTTATTGCACTGAGAAAAATGGGAGAGCGTTGATACCATTTCCTGTTTTTATCATGGGATTAGTTTGGGTTGAGGCTGTTTACCAAAAACAAGGTTTTTTTACGTACAAATCAGTAGCGTGACCAGCACTATAATAACGTTTAAGAAAAAATGGGTCATTCATGGATCATGCTGAAGCTGTTAAGGGGTCACTGAGGACTGGACCAGTAATTGATGTGTGCCACTGCAATCATGTAAATAGAATTGCTACTGAAACAACTTTCAGTCTCAATAACTAGGTCGGAACAACTCAACCCAAATGTAATGGCAACAAAAAGTGCAGTACAAAGGAATCCAACAATGTCAATCCCAACCAGAGGTGAAAGCAGCATGATTTGCAACGCATCAGCAACTGGTTTCTTTAGTATGTTTCAGAGCCTGTAATTGAACAGGAATAATGAGCTGGTGTTATCCAGCCTGGAATTGTAGGAGCCTCATTGATTGAAAGGCTTGACTCATTTGTTAATGCCTATTCTTCAGTTGACAGAAGAGAACGCACACACTTAGCACATTATTTCTTACCTGCTGGCTGTCTGCTTCTGAAATCAATCTCGAGTGTATATATAGAGGTCATTATTTGATTGTTTTTTTTGCAATTGATGCAATTGTCAGGAAATTGACAAGAAGAACATTTGGAAAAAGCTACTCGATTCTAATTTCTGGGTGAGCAAAAGGCAACAACCACCCATTCGCCAAAAGAATCTGTACACAGAATAAATTGTTTCTAAATATCTTACGACCTGTGATTGTACACGCAGTGTGTTACCAATAGGTTGTGTTTATCTCTCTGCACAGACCACAAAGCAACAAGAGTTTTTCATTGGCTCCATCAAAATAAATGGGACAACCGACTGGATGATGTTGGATGGAGTTATCTGTCAGCTGTTTAAGGTTTGTCTGTTTTGCAGATGATTATTTTCCTTCAGATATTATTCCCAAACTTGGGTTAGTAAAAGAATCAGCAAAGATGGCAGATTACATTCTCATAGTTATTAATGTTATTAGAAACAAGTTGTGGAGTCCTGTAGTGTATTGGTTAGAGAAAGGGGGAGGACCTGGGTTCGATTCCCGGACAGGGCGAAATCTTAGGCGAGTTTCCTTACTCCAAATGCCTGTTTATTTAGCAGCAAATAGGAACCCAGTTGTTAGTCAATTGGCAGATTGCTTATCTGGGGGTAATAATCCTTCCAAATTTAAAAAATATTTGGTCACTCAATTCACAACTAAACAGTGAGACACTGCTGTGTGCAATTGGCTGCTGCATTTCGCCCACAAAATATACAGTCAATTCACTTTACAGTATATTCGGTGAAGCGCTTTGAGACATCTCTAAGAGACGTGATAATGGGCTATATCAAATGCAAGGATTATTACTAAGTATATTATATATTTTTCTTGAAAATGAAATGTTAAACCAAGGTCTCGTCTGCCTGTTCAGGCCGACATTAAAGATCCCATGGTACTATTCAGAAGGAGCAGGTGTCCTGGCCAATAATCCCCCAAATAGAATTGGTCATTCATTTCACGGCTGTTTGTGGAATGTTGCTGTGCACAAATTGGCTGCCGTGTTTCCTCTAAAAAAAATACACTGTTATTACACTGTCCAATGAATCCTGTGAACCGTGTCAAGACATCCTCCCTATGTGAAAGGCACTTTACCAACTATTATAATTAATATTGATTTTGCATGTTAAGATTTCTTAAAAGTAAGCACTAAAGAGTGGACTATTGACTGATCATTAGGCAGATTGTCAATTTCCAAGAGCTCCAATTCAATGGCCCCATTATAACATCACAAAGAAAACAAACTGGTTCAGCAAAATGTTCCAATCTTGGTCTGCATATAATATAGTGTTTTGGTGCCAGTTGTTCATGTAAAAGAGAAATTTATGCTTGGCAACAAGTCTCCACAATGCAGTCTTTGATCCTACGCCACCAAGTGCTGTGTTCTTACTGGCTGCCTAGAAACTCGGAGTTTGTCTCCCTGGAAACTTCATCTCTCTGTCGTGCTCCCTTCTTTACCTCGAAAAGGGCCTTTAAGCACCAAAAGCTACAGGAAAATCAGCCACAAGGGACTGGATCTTCCGAGAGAACTGCAGCCCTTAGGAAATATCTGTGAACGTTCCAACAATTAAATGCTTTCTTTGTTTTATATAATGTATTATTTTATGAAGTTTGCTCAAAGGCTGTTGTTTGAAGAGCCCAGAATTCTGGGTGGGAGGGAGAGAAATGTTTTTTAAATTTCACACTAAAATTCAAGTGTTCTGAATGTGTTCTGACGGGCAAAATCTTATGACTTTCCCAGGGTTGATTGTAATCTTCCGCTAAGGAACAGGAGCAAGTAAGCTCCAGAATTAATAATAATCTTTACATTTGATATAGAGCCTTTCACATCGAGAGGACATCCCAAGGTCCAGTCTAAAAGGAGGTTTCAGAGTTGATGGAACTTGATCTCCGAAGCTTTAACCGTTGGAGGATTCACGATACAAAATCAAAATCAGCCATTGCAGAATATCTAAGGATAACTAGGATGAGACATTTCTAACTTGCCAATTCTCAGTAATTAAATATGTTGAGAGTATTCTGTACTCTCTAGTTCCCCCCTGAGTATTCTCTGCTATCAGGAGATAACCCACTAGGAAGCTGTAATCTGTTGGTACACATTTGAATCCAAACATGGGTATAAAGGAAACCTTACAGTCTCTGTTCGCTAAAGGCTGAAGATCTGGGATTAAAGTACTCAGTCTCCATGCTTTAATGAAGGTTGCTAGTGTTTTATTTATATCTTTTGACATTTATTAAAATGGTGAAGACTCTTGGGGGAGAAGGGGGTTTTAAACCTTAAGAGTTGGGAAATGTAAATGTTCAAAACTGCTTCAGGAAGAAGATAATGAAGGAAATTTGCGTTGCTGAGTTATCCAGTGATTGTGGTTTTCAAAACAAATGAACGTTGATCCCTTCGAACGTGAATCAAAATGGTGTCGCAGGTGTTTCATAATCTGATTTGCTATTCATCTTGGTTTCCAGCAATGAAAGGATTTCCTTTCACAAACCGTGCAATAGTGTCTGTCCTTCGGATGATCTTTCTGCATTAAGTAAAATTGATTTAAGCGATCAATAAAAATGTTTCACCATCTTGACGAGCTCACCTTTCTTTTCAGGATTACATTACAAAAGTGGACCCTGTCTCTTGTCTGGGGTTAAGCACGGATGCGATCTACAGCTATAGCGTTGGTCACGTAAAACGAGTGTTTGGAACTGATGCACCAGATCTGCTTCCTTATCGATACCTGTCGAAAGATGTGACATATTTCTCCATAACCTTGAAAGGTCAGTGAATAATGGAAACTGGAGAATCAACATGCCTTTCGCCTTTAGTTGGAGCCTTTGAATCATAATGCCAAGCGGAAATCTTTTCTTTACTCTTCGTTTAAAACCAATTATTAAGCAGTGAATATTTAATGCTGGTACACCAAACCCCCAGGTTATTTATTCATCTTGGGAACTGTCCAAAATGTGTTCTAGCAAAGAGTATTGTCTCCGGTTTCTATTGCTGTGTGGCATTTCAGATTAGCTCACTGTAACTTATTTATAGTGCAGCCTGGTATTTAATACATTTGCATATAATAACAACCCTGCCCTATTTTATCTTAGCTCCACTGGCAGCAGCTAACTGAAGCTTGCATATAAAACTGGTCACTAAATCCACAACTGTTTGTGGGACACTACTGTGTGCAATTGGCTGCAATTGCCCCCAAAATACACAATCACTGCACTTTACTGTTTCCTGTTTCCTGTGAAGCGCTTGAGACATCTCGACGACATGATAAGGCGTTATATCAAATGCAAGGATTATTATATTTATGAATATTGTTGTATGTACATTCCATTTATCTACACTGACTTTACTCCTCACCTCTCATCTTTTCCCCCTCAAAAAAAAGTTCTCAATGGTTGTATCGATGAGTGAATCAAGCCCGGAACTAACCGGCGTGCTTTCCTTTGCAGGATTAAAAGAGAAAAGTGTGGACAGTTTGGTTTTCGAAAGCTTGATTCCAAAACCAATGATGCAGCACTACATCAGTCTCCTGCTCAAACACCGGAGGCTCATCTTGTCTGGCCCCAGTGGGACTGGGAAGTCCTACCTATCTATTCGTTTGGCCGAATACTTGGTTCAGAGATCAGGTCGAGAGATTAATGATGGAATAATTGTAACATTCAATATGGATACACACTCATGCAAGGTACTCTTTTTAAGATCACCCATGTTGTCTTCACTCTCAAAACACACACTCATGGCACTTTACAGTAACTCCTGTGAAGCGCTTTGGGATGTCTGTCCAATGTTAAAGGCGCGATACCAAATGTAAAGGATTATTATTTATCGCTATATATCAGGCAGCACTTGTGTTTGGGTGCTAAATCTATTTGCATTTTCCAAGGAATGTGAAATTCTTCACAGATTTACAGAAGGTTCTTATTGAGTGCTCTTGGAGAAAGTGTTTGTTAGCATCTCACAAACAAATCCTGTTGTGGCTTCTTTGATGATGGCTGTGTGTTTAGCCGTGCAGAACAGCAAAGTCTCAGGTTTCAGTCAGTTCCCAAGTGAGTTCATAGGCAACACTGCGGTTGCCCCCAGATTAATGAGGGCGAGCACGTCGCCCAAGGTTATCCATCAATTCGACAAACCATTCAGGCATCGAGAGAAATGAAGAAGAAATATACTGGAACACATTGTTTTTTTTTGCAAATGTACAGTTTTAATAAAGTAAAATAGAACAGGGTGAGGGGAGGGAGGTTCTAAATTGGTCATGAGTATTTAAGCCAAATAAATGGTTACGATAAAAAACTACATTCATATTAGTATTGTAAATGGTTGACTGCAAACTGTGTGGATTTGAAAGGGAATAATCAAACCCAATTCTAAAACACGTTATTTATCATTTATTTTCTTATTTTGAGAGAGTCTTAACCATGAAACTTACTATAACCCAGAACTGGGAAGGGAATAGAGTTTCTCTGATGGGCCTGGCTAACAATTCCCGGACAACAACTCTTTGTGGGACATTGCTGTGCGCAATTTGGCTGCTGTGTTGACCTACAAAGTACACAGTCACCGCACTTTACAGTGTATCTTGTGAGGTGCTTTGAAGAGTCCTCTCAGCGTCAATAGCACTGTATCGAATGCAAGGATTATTATTGTTATCATAAATTTTAATCTTATTTTCTTTCCAATTCTGGTTACTAGGACTTGCAGTTGTACCTGTCTAACCTGGCTAATCAAATTGACCGAGAAACGAGTACAGGCAACGTGCCATTAATTATAATCCTTGATGACCTGAGTGATGCTGGGCCTCTCAGTGAGCTGGTCAATGGTGCCCTCACATGCAAATATCATAAATGGTGAGCAGCTTCTCATCTTTTGTCTGTTACTGAGAATGTGCAGATTCACAGAACGATTGTCTGTGTCCGGCCGTGGGAAACAAACGCGTATAGAATTTCAACTAGTCTGCGCCGGTGTTTATATTGAGCGCAATTGGCTTCCGCGTTTCGTCCACAAAATATACAGTCAATTCACTTTACAGCATATTCTGTGAAGCGCTTTGAGACGTCTCGAAGATGCGATAAGGCGCTGTATCGAATGCAAGGTTTTTTTATTACTGTATACTCCACACGGGCCTCCATTCCTCCTACTCCCCTCTCCTGTGCCCCTCTACTCCCTTCTCCCTCATGCTTGCCTCAAATTTCCTCTTAAGTACCTGGCCAGTCCCTTCACTCAGCGGGCACTGACCCGCTTCATGTCCTCTGACCTACTCACTCCTCCACCATCAGCAGTCAGGCTTTCACCACATTTTTGTGGGGTGGGGGGTGGGTTTCTGACTCATGCGGAAACCCATCACCGTGCTTAAGAGTACCCAACCAAACTGAGCTTTCCATTCATCCCACCTACGTGTGGAAGTTCCAGAGATAGATTGTTGGAATGGAATGCGCGCTCTCTCTCTGGAGGGACGCCTCCTGCTTACCTAATTCCAGCTGCCCCCAGTCTCTGGAACTCCATCCCGGAGTCTCTCTGACTCACCTCCTCCTTTAAGCTCTGTCTCAAGCTCCTCCTCTTCGACCTTGCCTTCGGTCGTCTTTCCCATTCCCCCACCCCTTGGCTCCCGCCCCCCGACCCCCTCCAAGCTCCTCGGCATGTCCTCCTGACGTGAAAGCCGCTGTACAAATGTAAATTTGGTGACTCAATCCACAACCATTTATGGAACACCGCTGTGCGCAATTGGCTGCCACGTTTCACCTACAAAATACACAGTGAGTCCACTTTATAAATATATTCCGTGAACGCTGTGAGACATCTCAAAGACATGATAAGGCGCTATATCAAATGCAAGGAATGTTATTATTAAATTGTATTGTAAATATATTTTCTTTGCTTCAACCACATCTTAGTGATCAAGTGCTTCCCTTTGTTTTCCCCTTGGATATTTTAAAATCTTGTTTTTCTTACCATATATTGCAGCCCATATATCATGGGAACCACTAACCAGCCTGTCAAAACCACGCCGAATCATGGTCTACACCTCAGCTTCAGGTAAGACACACCGAACATACAGCTTGGAATTTTCCGTGGGTCATTTTGAACACTTGGGGATGAACTAAAGTGTGAATTTTTCCGAAATACATTTCTCTGAGGTACAACATAATTTCAAGAGGAACATTTTTTAATTTTGGCATAAAATAATCGCACCTTTTCTGACCCAGGAAACTGGATAGTTGAGCTATTCTCTGCAGTTGGCTATGTGTCAGCCTGGCTCGGTCGGTAGCACTCTCGCATTTGAGTCGGACGTTAGAGGGTTCAAGCCCCGCGTCAGGACTTTGAGATCATACTCCAGGCTGACATTGCAGTGTGGGGGGTGCTGCATTTTGTCCTTCAGATGAAACATTAACACACAGTCACTACAGTAAATCATGTGAAGTGTTTCTGCGATGTTTTGCCCTTTGTCAAATGCAGGGATTGTTATTCTTTCACCATCAAGTCCATTCGTTCAGTAAAATAACTGAGAGTAGATTCAGATTCTTGGTTTTCAAACGAGCTGCAAATTTACAAAAAAAAAATCATTTATTGATCAGTGGAGGCAAGACTCTGTTTCGATACCCATTGCTATGAAATGAAAAACTTTGGAACTACACATACCATAAGAAGATATTTAAACACCATTTCTTACTGTAGCTGCTTACCCTCCACTGCAATTCACAGCAGAGTGATGTCTTCATTTCATCTTCAATAGGTTGGTCCCATTTTCTAACAACGCAGAGCCAGCAAATGGATTCCTCAATCGTTACCTGCAGCGCAAGTTGATTGAATCGGAAAACGACGCAAACGCAAACAACAGTGAACTCCTCGATGTTCTCAATTGGGTGCCCAAGTTGTGGTACCATCTACACACATTCCTGGATATGCACAGTACTTCTGATTTCCTTATTGGTAAGTATTGCACTCCGCAAATTGGCTGCCACGTTCGCCCACAAAATACAATCACTCCACCTTACCTTATATCCTGTGAAGCGCTTTCGTACATCCTCCTAACAGGACAGATGCTGTAGTAAGTGTAAGGATTATTATTATTATATGATGTTACAAAAAACCGGGGGAAATGCTAGATTGTCAGATGTTAAATCAATGTATAAATGTCCACCTGATTTTTTTTTACTTTCCACTGATGAATTTGTTTGAAATTACTTTAGTACTTACAAAACAAATGTATTAATCTTTCTACCTATTGTAATTTGATTCATGTCTACATTCTCCTTGAATCCCTTTTGACCTGTACCATTTTTGGGGGGCGGGTGGTGGCAGAGACGCTGATACCAGCAGCATTGATTTTCTAACCCAAAGCATATAAATTTTACACAGCTCGCAGTGATTTCCGTGTATTGTAATTTCATACCTCTGGACTGTTCTCTATGTTTACCAACCTTTGACAGTGTGTCAATAAATGTATCCCCCCTTTGGCTAAGTGAGACAAACAGAGATAGACCTATGAGATGCTGATTGGAGTCGGACGTCTATACATTTAAGATTGATGAAAGATGGAGAATCACTTCTTCACGGAAAGGTTGTGGATTACTTTTCTGTCAAGGCCAGAGAGAGAGAGAAACTTGCAAACTTGTGGTAATGCAGGCAGCAATTGTTAGGTTGACTTCGCTTGCTCAAGCAAGAAGCGTGTTCTTCTATGCAATTGAACATTCCACTCCTGTAAGTAGAGTTCTCCTGCAGTGCTATTAGAGTGGAGTTTGTCCCCATTTTCCTGAAGGTTATCGCTAAGAAAGGACACTGGGAAATGTTACTTTTTTATTCTACTTGTTCAAATGTTACCAACCAGGTTCCTCTGGTGAGTGCTCATGCTGTCTTCCTGTTCCTGACAGAGTTTGCTAAAGTGTCCTTCATTTGCACCTATTACATGTATGGATTTAGTAAACTTTATTGAGTAACTCTCAATAAATGTTTGGCGGCATTTCTGAAATATTGATTTCTTTTCTTCTGAATTTTCTCGCAGGTCCTTGTTTTTTCCTGTCCTCTCCGGTCAATGTGGCTGAGTTTAGGGAGTGGTTCATTGACCTGTGGAATTATTCAATTCTCCCTTATCTTCAGGAAGGTGTTAAAGATGGGATCAAGGTGATTATATGTGTGTTTTGTATAACTGCAGCTCCAAAGTGTGTTTTATTCAAAGTGATCCCATAAGAAATGGAAAGTAAACAAGCTTTAGACCAAAGATGTCAGGACTATGAACTCCTACAGTCCAGGCTCCAGTGCAGTTTTGAGCATGACCTGGAGGTGCTATCGTTCGGATGACATGTTAAACTGAGGTCCCTCCTGCCTGTTCAGGTTGACGTTAAAGATCCCATGGCACTATTTGAAAAGAGAAGGGAGTTTCTCCCGGTGTCCTGGTCATTCACATTGTGCTTGTTTGTGGAACATTGCTGTGCATAAATTGACTGTCATTTTTCCCTACAAATACTGTCGCTACTCTCTACAGTATATCCCATGAAGCGCTTTGAGAGTTCGTCCAGAAGTAAAAGGCGCTGTAATCAAATGCTAGAATTATGATTGTATCGTTTTAGCTTGAACAGTTATTAAATTATTTGAGAAAAGACCATTGAACCCAATGCTCACACAATGCCGACACTCTGCACAGAATACTCCGATATCAGAAGGTATTTGCGTGGGCTGTGTTTGGGGCGAGTGGACTTTTACTATAGATCCAGTCTGTGAACCTGTTGTGTTTTGGCTTAGACATACGGCAAAAAAGCGATGTGGGAAGACCCTTCCAAGTGGGTAAAAGATACACTGCCTTGGTCAACAGCTTTGCAGGACCGGTCCAAGATCTTCCATTTACCTCCTCAGAATACAGGGTCACAAGTCACAGGTCCCCCTACAGACACAAGAAAGGTCAAAGAGACAGCACCTAGTTCACTCGAATCAGACCCTCTGGTAAGCCTATGAGCACGGTTACCCATGAATTGTTTTGCTCTTTATAAATAAATAGTCTTTATTTATTATCACTGCGATTATAGGTTATACAATGCAATGAACGGAAATGACTTTGTTTGCTGAATAATTTTAATTCTCGTGTTTAAAATCAAAACCTATAGAAGATGCTCTTCGATTATTTTTAAAAAAGACTTATAGTCCTTTAAAATTATTGGAAAAAAAATTCCACCCGTGTCTAGATTTATTTTATGGATACAATATTTCAGAGCATCCAAGGTGTTGGCAAATTCGTAAAAGCTGTCATTTTGAAGCCGGTGTCCTGTAAGTTACTTTTAAGAACAAGAATGAATTTACATTTCTATAGCGCCTTTCACTTCGGGAGGACGTCTCAAGGTGCTTGAAGCCTGGGGTGGGAACCCCGGGAGGGGAATGATGTAGATCAACAAGGTAGACCTTAAGATGGATCTTGAATGAGGTGAAGGAGGGAGCAAGTCACAAGGACTCGGGTATGGAATTCCAGAGAGTGAGGGCAGATTGGTTGCCATTGGCTCCCCATGGAAAACCATCTTCAAAGTTAAGCCTGAGTTCAACGATTTCTTTTTTCCCCAATGGTGGCTCCTTAAATTACGACGTGAACAGTTTAGCTCCAGGTGCAAATAATGTTAGCGGTGGACAAAAGACTTAACGGCATTGCTGATTGTTCGAGGGAGCTACGAAAGGCTTGATGCTTATCTGTTAGATTTGTTCCTGGTTGCTTATTGGAAAGGAAGCCACATTTCATCCCCTGAAGCAATACCAGTTGAGTTTTTCTATGCCAACAGCTGACCCGTAGTGCGTTCCTGTGCAAACTCATTACACCTCTCAGCTGGCATTCGGAAACAACTTTGCCACTCTTCCTTCTGCCTGGTTCATGTTCTTCCTGAGGATTCCCTGTGGCTAACATCGTCTGAGCTCACGAGACTGAAAAATAGCTTTCTGCTAAAAGATTAATTTTCACACGTAGCATCTTTAATTATGAAAATTAATTCGCGTTAGATCTTAAGGAAGCTGGAATTTCTTACTTATTCAGTTCACTTTCTTGTATGTTCTGGCTTGTCAAAGTACAGTACGATTCCATACGTGGGGAGAGAGAAAGCTATTCCATTGTCCTCTTGTCACGAGGTCGAACGTGTCTGACTGTATCATGACCAGGTAGCTGGTTGCTTTGTCTCAATGCTGGCATAATACCAATCTGGAACCCATGGGAAGAATGGAAGGCTCTGGTACACACTGGGGATCAAAAAAAAAAGTTAGCCAATGACTTCATGACTGTTTCTGGGGCATTTCTGGCTGTTGTGTTGGCTTGCAGTAAATCATGTGAAGCGCTTTAAGACATCCTCCCGGCACGAAAGGCACTATATCAAACGCAAGGATTATTATTGTTAAGCATATTATAATTATCCATATAGAATGGCATGACAGCGCTTAAGCAATTATTGTCAAGAAGCAGCCGATATTATTAGACGATTTAACTGACTGGACGCAATATTTTAATTTCACAGAAAATAATTGTAGAGTAGAAGAGTTTTTGAATGTGAGTATTCTTAAAATCTCCATTTACTTCAGTTTGTGCCCTTGATCTATGAAAAAGGGCTGGGTCATTCACATTGCTTTGTCCTCCTTACCATTTCAAAGCTTTGTATGTCCTCCAACCCATGCTCCCACAGCTCCTGCTTCTATTATAGTAGTACTTGGCTGGGAATTGGATCTCTGTCCTTGTTCCAAACACAGCAGCAAAAGCCAGTGCATCACGTGATGTTAAATCCCACTAGAATCATCATTTGTATGCTGTTACAGTGACCTTCAGTATCCTCATTGCATCTGCAAGGCGTTCAAGAATGATTCAGCAAAGCATGCTGAGCTACCCGGCTTTGCCTTTAGGGTAGTTCACAATGGAGCTCTTGTCAAAAGGTCCATAAAACCCAGTTTCAAATTAAATTGTGAACGGCCAAATTGCAGATATAAATTTTATATTAAAAATGATCGTTCAAAGAAATCCGTCAAGAGCAACGACTCAGAGCAGATGTTCAGTAATTGCCTTCAAATTCAACCTCCAGCTCTTTAACCTGAGCTCAGTCATTGTAAATGGCTAATTTTGTTAGCTGGGTGTTGGTCCAGAGGACTTGAATATTGGATGACGCCAATTTAGTATCCATTCTATTAACAGAAGAAATCCTACAGAAAGGCCTGACACATTGCAACAGCGTTTTTTAAAATATATATACGTGTGTGTATATAAGTATAGCAACTATCGCGGAGGGTGGGAGGTGGGAGAGGACGTCTCAAAATCACACAACAGACTGAACAGAGCCTGAACAGTGGGGGAAAGAGAGCTAGGTAAGGGGGAGTAAAGGTTGCTGAAAGGATTGTCAAAGAGTGATGGGTTTTAGAGTGGGTTTTGAAGGCAGAGAGAGGGGGCAAGGTGGAGGAACTCCAAGATGTGGTTGTTGCAGAGAGCGGGGGCAGAGTGGCTGAAGACTTGCCCTCCAACAGTGGAGTGGATTAAGCCGGGGACATGAAGCATGCCTCTGAACCAACAGCTGGGGGTTGCCAAGCAGAGAGTGGGGCGAGACGGGGAGGCATTTGAAAAGGAAGGGCATCAAATAGATACTGCATCAAATGCACACACTGCAGAGAGTATTCCTGAGTGCACTACAGCAAGAGAGGGAGGGTGGAGGAAGAGCCAAATCTGAAATAAAATTATAGGTTTTAGTCAATATCATCGCAGTTTGCCTTCTCTAACGAGAGAGAGAGAGAGAGAAAAAATCAGCGACTGATGTGCACCATTTGCCGCTTGGATTTGAGTCACTGACTCTGAATTCTGTTTGTGAACATCACATTGCAATCTGAAGCTGACAGGTGGGGAAAAAAAGGCAGCAATTAAAATAAGCTTTGCTGGCCAGGCATTCTCTGATCTGTCACTTTGGGACTTGATCTCAGACTAGGGTGATACTTTGATGATGCACTGTAGGAGAAGTTACTGTCTGTGGAGTTATTGGTTGAGGAGTTGTCTTTCATGTGAGGCTTTAAACTGGAGACCCATCTTTCTGTTCAAGTGTTGTTAAGAATCCAGCGATACTATTTCACCCACAGAATATACAGTCAATTCACTTTACAGTATGTTCTGTGAAGCACTTTGAGGCGTCTCAACGACCTGATAAGGCGCTGTATCAAATGCAAGGATTATTATTATTATTATTGTTGGGAGGTGAGGGGAGAAAGTAAGTTTTTCCTGGTGTACTAGCCGAGAATTCTCCAGATAAATTGGTTACTCAGCTCACACCAGCCTGTGTGACTTTGCTGCAGGTTAAGTTCACCAACCAACTAGTTGCCCAGTTACATAAAATGAGTCCTTGTTGAGGTTGCTTAGTCGGGACCAGCGAGATTTAGCATTGACCAGCACACAGATGGCATATACACAGTGAGCTGCTTAAAGAGCTGTGTGACATGGAGCTGCTGCAAGGTTTAAGCATCTGAGCTCTTTTATTTCCAGTCAAAGGCTGTGACAGTTCAAAGACACTGGCAGTGCACAAAGCTTCAATGATTTGAAATGAATGGAAATATCATAGAGTGCTCCTCCATCCTACCTCAATTGGAAGAATAGATGTTGACCGATGTTCACTATGTAAATGACCTAATTTACTTTTGGCCTGAAAATCAAACTGTCTGGTGTTCAAACTAAAAGCGCTGATGTGCAAATACAAAAATCTGCATTTATACGATGACTTTTTAAATTTACATTAATTTCCATCCTTAACCATACTTAAGCTTTTGTCAGTGACCTTTTTTTGTCACTTACCAGCAAAGTCATTTGTGTTGCAGCTTTATAATTCAATGAATGTCCATTTCAGTGTATGCTTGTTTTGGTAATACGGCTTTTAAAAATTGCGTTGAATTAAGATTGCATTACTTCTGTTTTCCCATTTTTTTAAAAAAATAAATGATTTCCTGGAACCATAAGTGAGTATCTGATGTTGTTATGTGATGTCGGAGGTCTAGTGTCTACAGCTTGCGCTGTTTCAAGTGAATAAATATTTAATTTCAGCTTTTTCTTACGTTTCTGCATTTGCAGATGACTATGCTACTGAGGCTCCAGGAAGCAGCCAATTATACACAAAGCTGTGAAGGAGACAACATCCTTGATTCATCTCTGCAATCAACTCTTTGAAAGAGCACAGCAACATGCACATGCACACACATCAAGGAATACAGGAGCCATTTCTTGTTTTTAGTCATGTCACAACTGCAATTTGGATTATATTGTCCTGAAACAGAAGTGTATTCTGTGCTAGAAATTAGTTAGGTAGAGGGCTAAACTAAGTGATCACTGAAATTTGTAGATTAATGGCCCAAATTCATATGTAAGTTAACTGTGATCATTACTGTAAAGCATTATAACTTAGCCATCGAAGAAAAAAAAAGAGCCCGTTGAATTATATGGACTGTTAATGCTGTATTTGTACTTTGATTCAATCTACAAAAGTGCATGGCAATCATTTAAGCAGAAACAAATACGATTTTAGGGATCTCTATTAAAGGTTTAACTCCTAATCTACTACTCACGTAAATATAGGAATTATCGCTGTTCCACTTCTGCTGTGTTCTCAGATGTCACTGGTGCTGACTGAAGTTCTCTCTGCCGCTCTGCAGTTTACGGTACACACCACACCATTTGGTCCTCGCAAGCCTGTGTACAGAGAAGCACAGTTAAACGTGATCTGTAGCAAGAGACCTGCTAAAATCGCCGTGTCTGAATGTCAAGTCAGGGCGGTTGCCGTTGGAAATCACCGTGTTCCCACTATTACGCGTTAAACTTCTAACCCTGCATTGGACGTACGTTATGGAATGATTGCTGGAAGCGAAACATGCTGTGGTTTGATCGTAAGGCAGATTACGTTGAAACGGTAATTCCTTTAAGTACACTGTTCCTCCAGACACAAGCTTGCTTTTCCACATGTTAATGGAAACTTTGTTTTATTAAAAAGTCCATTTTTGTAAAAAAAAAGTTGGAAAAATACGTACGCTTTTTAACCCAGTTAAAAAATCTTACTTTTGTCCTCTTTCCCCAGTTTAGTTTTCAACTTCTACTGTCAACCTTTCCCTAGAGAGAGGCCAGACTCGTTGTCAGACCTCCGCTGGTATCTGTTGGTTACTAGTTATTAGCTCCTGGAGTGGAGCAGCATCATTTGGCTTGCACATTTTCTTGTCTTCTTTCATACTATTTTGCAGGAGAGCCGGGTAAGCCAAAGTGCTACAGCACGGGCCACCAACAGCAGAATGACCAGTCCTTTCGCTGGTTCCAATGCATACGGTTAAACCTAACAAAGGAGCAATTTTTCCTCAAATGGAAATTGTATCTCTTCTTATTCAAGTCGTCATGTTTCAAGCGCTGTTAACCAGCATTTTTTCTCTGACCGAGAAACTCCAAATGTGGATATTTCCCTTCACAATGTTTAGCATGATATGAAAATTCAGTAAAAATGTCCCTTTCTCTCGCGTAAGTAACCGTCTTTCTTTCTCGCTTTCTTTGGAATTATTTTTGCTGAATGGATCAAGTTGCATCATGTTCCATAGCATTGACCTGTGGTGCCACGGTACTTAAAAGGGTTCCAGAGCCAAAGGCACAAGCTACAGCACAATCTCATTTTTGTATTGAAGGCGATGGCCAAATTCACTCCTCAGCTGCTATATACCCTGCTGAACGGACAATGTGCTTCAAGTAACATGTAGGAGCTTTATCAGTTAGATTGCTAATCATTGTGATTGTCTTACAACAATTCTTGGTGGTGTTTGATAACAAGCTGTGGTGGCCATGTTTGGGGGTCACACTCAAAGGAAAATTCCAGGCTCCTAAAAGGTTCCACAGGACTACACCTATTACCCTTTAATTTGTTTCTAACATGTTTATCTACATTGTAAAATTAAGTTTTACCGCAGCAGTTTTTTCACTAACTTATTGTTCCAAAGCAATAGATGTCATCCTTTGACTCCCATTACCTCCGCTGGTCTAATTGAGCTGACTGTTTCTGTACATTTTCAGCCAGTGCACTGTCACTAAATATACTGATTACAGCAAAGGCAGTTTTATTACTGTAAGTTACCCCTAATTCACTAAGAAGTCAAAAAGCACAATTAAATATAAAACGTGTTCAAAGCTTTTAAGTGTTCATCCCGTCATTTTGCTTCTATCCTCTTTCCCCATTCTCTCTCTATACCTTTATTTTTTAATTACACATTGAATGGCTTTTGAAAACCTCTCTTTCTTCTTGTTCCTACCGTTCACAGAGAGCGAGAAGTGAATAACAAAGGTGTAAGCTTGACAGGGAGACGCAGTTTGGTCAATCTCTGATGTGATTAGATTTAAATTAAGCCGTGACTTTGAGTGAACTTGATTTCCTCCTCAGCTCTTTCCTGATTCTTTCAACAGTTTCTAACTAAATTAGTTTCTTTTAACTTCACTTATTCCTTATATTTTTTGACCCTTTTCTAAAGGGCTTAGCTGTTTTTGATCCTAAAATCCTTTCTAAGTCATATTCGATTGCCGATCGCCTGAAATGTTCGTTTTTCCGGGGAAATGGTAGATTGAACAGTTACGTTCAGTGTGACCATGACCTTCAGTGAACCAAGTCAAACTGTGTGTGACCTGTTCTTTCCATCTTTACAAGTGCAAATCATCCAGCATGATAACTCCTTGCAAATCTCCTTGCAAGGCATAGGTGTCAAAATAACTTAACTTGCACAGTTGCCCATGATCTCAAAGGAAGAATACATATCAAGTTTTAATTTAATCCTTTGTGTGGTTTGAGGCTCTTTTTGTTTGTTTGTTTGCTTTGGTTAGTCACAGGTCTCAGGTTCTGTCAAAAGGCAAAAATACTACAGATGCTGGAAATCTGAAATAAAAACAGAAATCGCTGGGAACAAACACTCAGCAGGTTAGGCAGCATTTACGGAGAGAGGAAAGTTAGTTAACGTTTCAAGTCGATGACCTTTGGTCAGAACTGGGGGATGTTGGAAGGAAAGAAAGTAGTTTATAAGGACTGGGAAAGCAGGTTCTGTCACTTTGCTGAGGAAATTCTGTAACTGATGGCCAGGCTGCAGGTGGCCAATACCGATCTTTCAAGTGGAACACTATAACAAATATAGCAGTAACAAATGCTACTGTGTTGAACTGAAAACAAATCACAATAGAATTGGTGGTAACTCACAATATTAGGAACTCTCCAGCTCAAAGTGGAACTTAACTGTAAACGTTTTACGTCTTGCCTAGTAAGTGTGCTTAAATTGGTTTTTACTGTGTAGATGAAATGGTGCGAGAACCAAAGAGACTTGTATTGCTTTTGCCACTAAACTAATGACCGTGCGTGCTTCTGACGATGAAAAATAATTACGTAAGCATGCACCGTCAAAGTGTTAGTACGTGTTCAGTGTGGTCACTTTTATCCAGAGCCTGAAGGTTTCCTTCCATATTTTGACATCAAGCCTTTCAGTAATAACTGTGGTGCTGAAACTATGCCTTAAACATTACAGCACACAATCACATGTGCGATTCTTTAGATATTTAAGGTTAATGTTACTGCACAACAAATATGAAGTACTGTATTCTAAACTATCAGCTTAAAACCTCTGCCATGTCCAGTCGTCTATTAAAGAAAGAACAAGTTCACCTTTTAAGGGTACCATGTGTGTGTAAATGAGTATCATGTCACTACATTGTGTATACTCTTACACAAGTGACTTCAATGGTACCCAACATTCATTGTTACTTTCCCTATGATAGACATTACAAATTAAATGTGGCGCTTACATGAACAAACAAGATTCTGAGACTTCATCTCTAGCCGGTTTCTTTTCCCTGGATTTAATTTTAAAAATAGTTTTTTTTAAAATGTAAATTGTTGAAAGGATTACCGTCCTTAAAAAAAAAATTCAAAAGCTTTTGTAAGTCTCTTAATTGGGAAATACTAGTTTGAATCCCTGCTCAGTTTGGATTCTGATTATCAGTCGATTGGCGGATCGCTTTTCCAGGGGGTAATAATCCCTTCTAAAATCAAAATAATAATAACTCAATCCAAGAGACTGCATTTCGCCCACAAAGTATACAGTCAATTCACTTTACAGTGCATTCTGTGAAACGCTTTGAGACGTCGCGAAGACGTGATAAGGCGCTATATCAAATGCAAGGATTATTATTTATTATTATTACTTAGGCTTCGCTTCAAACTAAAGTGTGCGAGTCTCGGCCAGATCAGGAAACTCTGGTCTGCGGGTGTCAAAATTGTAAACTATCTCACATCGTTGGGCAAAGCACACAAGTGCTTTGCTAATAATAAGTGATTTTCTATTTTTGTGTTCAGGTATTTGAGATGTAATATCTGATTTCGCTAATTATATGGTGCACCTTTAAAATAGCNAAAAAAACTTAGCAAAAATAGTGTAAAGAACAGAAATTAATCAACACTAAATCAATGATCGTCAATCATTCATACTCATGATGATCTGCTTTATACGTTAAGTCGAGAGTTAATACAAGCTCTATCTGGAATTAAACAGGATATGTGTATCTTGCCACCAGTCGTTATTTACGGGCAGTCAACATGACAGAAAATCTTTATTAACAGCCCACTTAAGATCAGAAACTTTTGGAGGTAGATGTGAAACCTTTGGTTTTAAAAAGGCAATAGTTTAAAAAAAAATGAAGTATTAAAAACTACAGATTATATTTGAAAATAAAACTTGGCGGCTTGTTTTAACACCCATTTTATTTCTAAAAAAATCATTAATAAAGTGTTACGGGGTCCAGAAAGTTGATTTGGAGCCCTGCTAATGTGAAACTCATCAAAACCAGTTTACAACACGGTGGGTCTGAGTGGGACTTCAGACATCTATCTGAAAGGCAAACAAAGCACTGAATTAGAGGGAACACCATTGTGCCACAGTTTCAATCCTTAAACCTTTTATGGTGCTTGTTTCTTCATGTAAATACCCTGCAGGAACCAAAAACACCAATCACTTTAAACGTTCCATCTCCCATCAAATTGTGTAAATACAGTCACGCAAAACGGAGGAGATTACCATTTATAAGTCGAGTGTTTCTCTTCCAACCCCCTAACTCCCCCCCCCCCCCCCCCCGCCCCCCCACCACCCAAAAAAAGAATATAAATGTAACTTGCATTTATGGCATTACTCTCTCTCAGATGACTGTCCATCCTTCTGATGTACGTGACCTCATGTAAAATGGTAATCGTTGAAACAAAAGCCTATAGCAAATCGATGGAGGTGAGCATCGAGGCCCTTACACATTGCAAATGAACTCTGATTTCTTTTCACTGCGATCTTCCGAACTGGCAGAAGATTTCAGTGATGTTTTGACGAGTGTGTTTTAGAGTTGCACTATAAATTTATAAGAGAGCAGTTGTGGATCAGTGGGTGTTCCTTGTACAATATACTATAGTACAATTCAGCAGAAATTCCTATAAGCGATAACTTTGTCTCAAGCATGATAATGTCATGGCATCTTAATATTTTGCTATTTAATTTTTTTTAATGTTCAGTGTAACTGTAAATGTTATTAATGAAGTTAAGCTCCTTTAATTTCACTCGTGTTACTTTTATAATTCCAAATGGTTCTTTATACAATGTAGAAGTGAACAGTTGCTCTGAGTTTGACACAGAGTATTTGCACAGTTACTGGTTAAGTAATTTAAGAAGAAAAAAACTGCCTTTTACAGTATAGATTTTTTACCGGTTTTCTTGTGTCATTTTTTGGAGTTGTAGGATATATTTGAAGAGGTTTTTTCCTGTACGTATCGAGTTTGGACTACCACTTTCAACCAAGTCTATGTGATGTGCTTCTAATGGTTGTTCCAATCGTGTGTGTGGATTAATGTGCTAAACAGAAGCAATGATTTATTGTGAGGGACTATGCAACAATTTCTATTGGCTTTTTCAACAAAAAAAACTCCCATTTTTTAAAAAAATAACACACATCGTTGAGTTTGTTTAGTTAAAAACTAAATCTTCTCTTTGGCCAATGAGCAAAAGAAAAACAAACAAGACTAATACAATACAAAATGACATTGTTAAAGTGGCTTTCGCATGGGGAGGATATCCCCTGGCATCCTCCTGACGTGAATGTACCGAGAGTTGCAGTGACAAAGTGATGGATGTGATCTAATCACAACAGCTTTCGTGTTACGTGAGGAGACAGAATCCCTTTACAAACGATCATCTTGCAATTGATAACTGGATTGATGCTTCACATTTTGATTAGTTTGGGATTGGAAAGCAGTCAGATTTTGGAAAGTACCCTTTGCCATTTTCTTTATTACCTTTGTTTGCTTCTTTTAAGGTGACGTAACTTTACAGCCCAAAGGACCCATTGTGTCCAAATCCGTACGATACTGAAAGTGCACGATACCCCCTATGGGTTTTCAAGCAACATCTTTTTAACCTGAATGTAATGATGACTGGAAAGAAATGGTCAGAGAGATTATCAAAACCTCTTTGCAACTCCCTTGTGTATTAGCCTCAGCCTTAGTGATCGGCCTTAAAGTTTGGAAGTAATTGGTAAAATATCAGGAAAGACTGGAGCGCAGTAACAAAGGTGTTTCATATTCTCATAGTTTTAAAACGAGGGTCAAACAGAAAGACGATGCTTTGCAATCAAACGCTGTGCAATTCAGTGGTCATTTTATATCCCCTTTTCCGTTCCATTCACTTTGGTGTTCTTTTTTTAAAAAAAAACGAAATTCAGAACTAAAAAAAAAAGTCTAACCGCCACCCTTTTCGATTTCCCCGCCGTTTTCGATCGATCAAAATAAAACACGTGCACTGTTTCAAGCGAAGAAAGTACACAACATGATTTATTAACAAATTCCATGCGACCAATTTTCAAAGAGGGGGGGGGGGGAATGGAGAGAAATGTGAGAAAGCAAATTACCCGATTGTATTCCTCAAATTCCCCAATTGCATCCGGCTGGGATCAGGCAGGGATTCCAGAGATGCCCCTTTTAAAAACGCCCCACCAAATAAATTGGAGAAATCACAGCCAATATAGATTGCTGAATGGTCTTGTTTATATGCCATGCAGTTGGATTGCTAGATTTTAAAAGCGTTAATGTTAAAATGTTTACTAAGCTGTGAAGTGATAGACTCCCATGTTAGCATG